AGAAATTCAGAACTTAGAACCAACACCAGAAAACTACGAAGTATTTGCGGATAAAGTAAGGAAAATATCTAGACAACATATACCACGCGGCTGCAGAGAGAAGTACATACCAGGCCTGAATAAAGAGACTGGAAAGTTGATGGACATATATCAGGATTTATTTCAAAATGATCCATTTAGTAATGATACTATTGCGGCAGGAGAGAACCTTATTAAGATGCTTGGTGATGACAAAAATAAAAGGTGGCACGATGTCATCGAAAGTGCTGATATGACTAAAAACAGTAAAAAAGCCTGGCGCCTTATAAAAAAGCTCAGAGGAGACCCAACTATACATAGAACATGTGTAAATGTCACTGCTAATCAAATTGCCACAGAATTATTAAAAAATGGTAAACCAGGAAGGAAAATCAAGAGGGAAAAAATTATAAGAAACGAAAACAATGAAAGTGATACATTCCACCAAGACTTTCAAATGGATGAACTCACCATCAGTCTGAAAGAAATGAAAAATGGGAAAGCAGCCGGGTACGACGAAATTGTAGTAGAACAAATTAAAAATTTCGGATTAGGAGCAAGACGATGGCTACTCAAGTTATTAAATGTGTGTCTCCATAGAAAGTGTGTGCCCAAAAGCTGGAGAAAATCTAAAGTAATAGCCCTTCCCAAACCTGGGAAAGACCTGGGTGATCCAAAAAGCTATCGACCCATATCTTTGTTATGCCACACGTATAAAATATATGAGAGAATGGTCATGAACCGGATCAAAACTCAAATTGACACACAACTAATACCGGAACAAGCTGGCTTTAGACCTGGCAAGGCTTGTACAGGTCAAGTACTTAGTATGTGCCAACACATAGAAGATGGCTTCGAAAAGAAAAAGATAACTGGAGCAATTTTCGTAGACCTCACAGCAGCGTATGATACTGTTAACCATAATAAACTGTTACAAAAAGTTTACTATTACACCAGGGATTGGCAATTTGTTCAAATCGTGGCTTCTCTACTACAAAACCGTCGATTTACGGTAAAATTGAACAACAAGTGGAGTAGATGGAGAACCCAAAAAAATGGGCTACCACAAGGTAGCGTGTTAGCTCCAATGCTCTTTAATTTATACACAAACGACCAGCCAACTCCGAGAGATACGAAACACTTTTTATATGCAGATGATCTTGCAATCACAGCTCAAGATACTACTTTCGATAATGTAGAAAAAAAACTTACAAATTCACTAAAAGATATGACTAACTACTATAATAATAATCAATTAAAACCTAACCCTAACAAAACACAGGTATGTTGCTTCCATCTACGGAACCGTGACGCCAAGAAACGTCTCAATATAGAATGGTTAGGCAAAAAGCTGCAGAGCACTGATCACCCTGTATACTTAGGCGTTACCCTAGATAGGACTCTTACATTCAAGGAGCATTGTCTCAAAACTAAAATGAAAGTACAAGCAAGGAACAATCTACTAAGAAAACTCGCAGGGACCCAATGGGGAGCACGACCGCATACCATGCGTACAACCGGTCTGGCCCTATGCTTCTCGGCTGGAGAATATGCGTGTCCAGTGTGGAGCCAGTCAAAACACGCCAAACATGTATCGGTAGCATTGAACGATACGTGCAGAATTATAACGGGATGTCTCAGGCCAACGCCTACACACAAGTTATACCTCCTAGCAGGCATAGCTCCTCCCGAAATAAGAAGACGCGTAACCACTGACATAGAAAAAACCAAACAGATGAAGGACGATAGACATCCCATGTTCGGATATGGACTCACGAGTACGAGACTCAAATCTCGAAGGAGCTTCATGCACACAGCAAAAGAGCTAGGCGAATCCCCACAAAAAGCTCGGCTACAAAAGTGGAAAGATCAGTTACAGCCAGAAGAATTGACCCAGCCTACCCAACAACTTCCATTGGGCGGACATTTACCATGGCCACTATGGAAAACCTTAAATAGATTGAGAGCTGGAGTAGCAAGGACTAAAGCTAATATGGTAAAATGGGGTTTTTACGAAGTAAACGAAACTTGTGAATGTGGAGAATTACAGACCGATGATCATCTTCTGTCATGTGCCATGAGCCCAGCACAATGCACCAGGGAAGATTTGGTTCTGGCAACCAAAAATGCGCTAGAGACGGCTACTTACTGGTTGCAACACAATATATAAAAAGTTACCAAATATGTGATTCTATTTTAGATGTACCATTTTATGATTTATATATATATATGTATTATTTATTTATTTATTATTATTATTATTTTTTTTTTTTTTTTTTCTCCTACCATTATTATTGTTTTGTTTTTTATTTAAATTTAACTGTATTATTAATATAATTTTTATTGGCATTTTAACCCAATCGGACTCGACAAGAAGAAGAAGAACGAGGGAAAATTTTTCAATTTTTAAGGGTAATGTCTTCAACTAGATACGATTTGTGATCTTTTGACGTATTGTTGAAAGAAATCGGTCCTGTGAGAGCTCAGAAAAAGTGGCAACAGACATAAAAAAAAAAAAAAAACACATCATAGTAAAATTAATACCTTTTCAGCTTCACATCGAAGCTAAAAAATTTCTTTAGATCCTCTTTAATTAAGCTTTATTATATTAAAGGATGATAATCATTGTTTATTGTATAAGGTTAGTAACTTTTTAAATATATTTTAAAATTTCATCAATATATTTACAGACTATCTATCTCAACTGTATATTTTCCATAAATAACTTTGACAAATTCTGTTTCCATAAAAATACTTATTTCTTATTATACAATTAAAAATGTCAAGAAATTTGTGTATTTTTAACACGCTTTTATTAGTTTCACATGTATGTTGTTTGTATGTTGTTTGTATATTGTTTGTATGTTGTTTGTATGTTGTAAGTTTGTAACTCCACGCGGCACGTGTTATTATGTCGCGTATCCCGTCGTCTATGACCTTGAGACTAGACCGTCGTAACGCATTCACCCCACCCCGCTCACCAGTCGGCAACTACACTAATTTTTTTCTGTATAATTTTGAGTATTTGACTGACCAACACCGCGCGTTATACGCCGCGGTGCAAAGTCCAGCAAGTGCCGCACGGCCGACGACGTACCGCCGCTAATGATACCGTAGTATTCTTCCTGTTGTCAAAGTGGCAACGTCAATAAACCGATCTCCACTCACGCACCGTCGCCATCAACGCTGCTAACCTTTTGACGCCCGAGGATCACGCCGGACATCGCGTCGTCGACGCCAACGAAAGTGCCACGATATTATGCGAAGATTATATATTCTTACCATCGCCGCTAATATTAATATATATATACATATATATATTATTATTTATATATACGTATATGTTAATATTCATTTATATATCCCTACAGCCGACGCCGCTACCGCCATATATGCCTCGCGCCCCGCCCGCCAACAAAACACAGCTATACCTCGTGCATGATACGTTTACGTACTTAAGTCGCTTTACATGTATATATATATATATTTTAATTACTATTAAAACTTATATATTAATACGCTTTATTCTCATTAAGAGATATATAGGGTATTTATTCCGATTACAAAGGATGATTCCCGTATCGTCATTTTACGTCACTACCACCACGTTGCGCGTCTGCTGCTTTCCTTGGATGTGGTAGCTGTTTCTCAGACTACCTCTCCGGAATCGAACCCTGATTCCCCTTTACCCGTTACAACCATGATATTGATAGTAACTACTAGAGTAACATATAACTAAAAAGTGAAAAATAAATATAGTTTAAAAAAACTAAAAAACACGCTTTTAACTTTTTAGTTCGATGTTCTTTAAAAGCGTGTTTTTTAGTTTTTTAAACTATATTTATTTAAATTCATGAACCGTACATTCTACTGAAAATATACAATTGAGTAAACCCTATGTAATATAATAAGACATAATATGTAACTGGACGATGTTCCATCACAACAGTAGTTGAATTATTAAGTAGTGAATTATCCAATGGAAAGATAAAGCTTATAGTACAGTATTATGACCATAATATTCATCTGACTAGTTTCATATACATATAGATTTTTTATGTATTTATCTCAAAAATACATATTTAAAATTAATAGATGCAATGCGCAACAGAAAAATGAACGTAAAATTAAAGCGCACGTGCTATAATAAAAATTATTTTAGTAAATAATTAGAAAACAATATTAGAAATAATGTGTACATTATTTAAATATTAATCATCAAAATAAAAATCAATCTGTGAAAAATAAAAGAGTACAAAATGTGCTGATAGAGCAATAAGATTCTATAGATAAAACTTTTAGTTTTTAATATTATTGATTTTAATAGATAGCACTTTAAAAAAAAATTAAATTAATATTGCATACTTAGTAACTTTGAAAGTAATAATATTAACATTCTAAGTCAAGTACTAAATTAATTACATAATGAATTATTTACTTAGAAAAATAGGGATTAATCCAGTAACATATGTCCCGTGTAAGGAAGAGTATGTGATATTTTTCTTAACACGACAACCTCATAATATAAAGTTTGTTAAAAGAAAGTTAAACTACAGGAATTAAAAATTCCATAAAAAATGTAGCACGTGTATAACATGACAATAGTTATTATAACTAATAATTTCTGAAATTGATTAATTTTTAAAAAAAATTATAAAGAGTTAAAAAATTAAAAAGTCAATTTGAAAATATCTGACATAGAATCTTTAAATTTTCATGCCGCAAAATGATAAATACGCGTTAAAATCATTTTCATAAATGATGTACAATTGGTTATAATTGACTAAAATATTTAATTTGATAACACACATGTTTTTCAACAGCAATCTACTTTCATTTGTAAACGTGATNTGTTTTTCAACAGCAATCTACTTTCATTTGTAAACGTGATAAAAATGCAATCGTAAATCATATTTTTATTGATATTTAATAATTCCATTGATAAGGTACAATATCAATTTAACAATATTTATTGATCGTTTCATGCTCAAATACGATCATTAAGAAAAACGAAGCAACAATAATCAGACAATTTATGATTATTGTGTCTACGGAATTACTCATTGATTATTTTTTACTGTGGCAAAATGTGCTTCCAAATTCAAAGTTGATGCTTTTAAACAACAAAATCTCAAAAATGACATGTCTAATTTTAAGTATTTTTGATTTAAATAAAATTACATAACCGAAAATTTAAAAAAAAGTAATGGTTGCCATTTAAATTTCTTAAGTTAGGGAAGATTTCTACCCTTTTGCATTAGGATTGAAGTTTAATTTTAATCCTAAAAGATGCATTTAATTATTCAATTAGTTTCTAAAAAAAAAAAAAATTAATAGCGGCTCTAATAAATCGGCGTTTCCTAACTTATTGAATACTCTGTATATCATCAGGTTTGAGAGGAGTTTTTTAAAATTATGGCACTGATAAATTCAATTAGGTATACTTTGGCGTATTGTTAAGAAAAATCAGTTTAGTAGGGGTGGAGTAATAAAGTAGTGACATAAAAATAAAACAGAGTAAAACCAATAGCTTATAAACTACGCATCGAAACTAAAATTTCATATATTAAACCATTATGTTAGAAATAACAACATATTATTAAATAATTTTACTATTCAAATACATTTATAATAAATCAATCGTAAGTTTTTATTATAGGAAAGAATTGATTATTTTCGGCTAATAATATGTCACTCCAGAAAAACTTAATAGTGTATAAACTTTCAACTGGTTTCAATAAATCTCTAATCGTCTGAATACAACTATTGAATGCATTAATATTTCCTAAAATTGTATTAAAATTTATGTCTTTTTTTTTTTCACAACTCATCATAATATATATTGGCTTCGGCTTTAAAGGTACATGAAGTTGTTTTAAACAATATATCAATACTCTAAGGGCATTAAAAATAATTCTGCTTAAATTATTTGACCATGGTAATTTATTTTCTACAAATTCCAAAATGGAACTGAATAAACTGTCTTCAGCATGTAATAATTGCATAGCATTCTTCAATGGTTCTATTAATGATTTCCATTGTGTTTTAATATCATCTGTCTTTTTAGATGAGAATGTTAAACAATTAATACAGCATCCAGAAACCCAAGAAATAGAAAATGATTGTAAGTGAAACACGACAAACTGCAATACTTGTGTGTACACAACCTTTTGAAACAAAAGATGGAAAGACGCAATGCTAATTGGATTTTCAAGCCATTTATTGTTATTGTACAGATTATGGATTTTATTTTCATAAACATTACATTCAGTTTTAGTTTTGGTCCAATCGAAGCTCATGCCAATGTTCCATTCAAATATAACATTGTAATCATTCAATAACGCAATTAACGATATATTATCAATTGCAAACAAGTGTTCATACTTGTAAGCGTCAATCATATTTTGTGTGTTATCGTACAATTGTTTCATTAAATCATCAACAATATAAAGCTTGTAAAAAGAGCCCTCTTCTAAATTTCTTAATCGTTTAGGAATGTAGTTATATTTTTCACATTTGAAATAAAAATCTGAGACATCGTTTTCGATACTTGTTTCATGGAAAAAGAATTTTACTTCTAATAATCGTTCATTATTGCATTTTTCTAAAATAGCTAACAGTTTTAGATACATTTTAATTATCCATTTATAAGGCTTAATACGACCAAAATATAATAATGATAACATACGTCTCATGTATCTCTTATAAGATTTTATCACAGCTTTTTTTTGAGCAATTAATATTCCATTATCTGGCATTAGAAATTGAAAATCGTATGATATCGACTTCCAAATTAAAGTATTAACACATTGAAGCGAGATTATTCGGTCGTTATACTTATTGAAAGCTTTTACCCTTATTTTAGAATTCGTATAAGATTCTTTTAAATAAGTTATTTCAATTTCATTAAAATATATTGGACTCTCATCTGGTTTTATTTTTGAGCTAACTATACTTTCAATTTTATTTAATAATAAAATAAAATCACCATCTATTACAGGTTGAATTTGTTCAATTTTAAACTCGTTTGCCTGTAAAAAGAATTTATGATTATTTTGAGTTTTAAAACAAAAATAATTCAAGAAATGTCAAAATTTTAGCCAAAAATATGGTTTCAGTAAAATAATTGATTTGAGGTCAATATTATTTCAAATTAAATATTTCTTTTTATGTTTACTTTTAATTAATGATTTGATACATTTAAATAAAATTGTATAAAATTTATATAGTGATACTTTAAAAACATTTGAAATGTAATGAAATAGAAAATAATTAATACGGGTCATTCCCTTATTAATTATTTTTAATTGTTTACAAATATGTAAACTTTTTCCAATATTCTATAAATCAATATTTATTTTACAGTTAGTTCAAAAAATGAAAACTATATCACATTTAAAAAAGTTAAGTACAGTTTGAATGTCGCATAGTGGAGTTTAAGTTTTTTTAAATTAGTATTGATTGATATCAGATAAAGTTAAAATCACCGTCGTATAACAATTATATCAGTATTTTAAAAAAATAATAAAGCAATTTATCATATCAAACAAAAATTACATTATTTCTTAATTACTCATAGAAGAAAAGTCATCACAATGTTTTTCATTTTTTAACTATATAGTACAACATTAAATTAATTTGATACAAGTATCAAATTACGAGTAGATTGTACGATTTTTAGTTAAAATGCCTAAAATTATCACATCCGTCAATAATTAAACGATTTTGAACTTTACTAAGAATTAGACGTGAATGTTAACGTTTTTAATAAAGTTCCAAACACTCGATTTTGAAATAAGTGGCCTACAGAGTGGTCAAACAGAAAAGAGTAGCTTCAGTAACAAGGCATTGCCTTTAATAGATGATGATGATGATGATCGTTAATCATTATTTTATTGTTACCCAGTTCGATTGAATGCGTGCAACGTGAATATTTCATTTGTATTTATCATTGATATAGAACTGATTAATTTAGCTTATAAAGCTTAGCGCCAAACAATCAAACAGTTGCATTTTTAACAAACCCACATTGTTTCTCTTATGAGGTATAATCGATAAAAAAAAATCAAGAGTTGTAAAATTCTTCTCGATACAATTTTCTGTTTTATTCTATAACAAATTAATATTATTTATATTATTACTACTCTTATGCCATTCCCCTTGACCCTTTTTTTATGAGAAAACTGATGTATATATTACTATTTATTTTGACAAAATAGTCTATAATCATTCACTGTACATCCTTCTACATTCAGCTTATAACAAAACTTTAATACATTATCATTTGCCTTTGCCTCTATCATGCTTGTTTTATTTTATGACACTATTATACACATAAATAATTAATTTATAAGAAATATAACCAAAATTTATTTTTTAATAGTTCTGCTTAATTAATTTACCTGGATTAAATATCCTGGAAGATATATAAAAATTACTGCAAAATAACATAATTTAAAATTTTTCATTGTTGTAAAAATATTATTTTATTTCATTTTTGTGTTGATTATTTATACGTTATATATCATAAAAACGTATTTGTTTTGGTATATTATTCACATTATTTGTAATCTAAAAAAAAACTTACGTAATATAATACTAATAAAATTCTATATTTTTCAATTTAAGCAAAAATTGTATAATATAAAATAAATTAAATAAGCAAATTTCTGTATAAAATGTAATTTTTGTATTTTAAGGATTTTGTAAATGATATTAACTTTAGGTGACAAATGTTTTTAATCGTATTAACATTCGTAAGTGCGAATTATAAAATTTTATGAAATAATAAAGTCGACGATAATATGGGCAGTTAATTATTTTTTTTGGAAGAAAAAGTTAGACCCTTCAGTTGTGTCTGTACTACATAAACCACTGTAATCCATATTTTTCATACAGACAGCTTAAAATACAGATTTTTTTCTTGGCCTTTAATACTATTAAACAGTCAATAATAATAACACCGCTTATGTATCTTCTTCTTCTTCTTTTTCCTCGCCTTAATCCCAACTAAGTCGGCCACCCTTATCCTAAGCTGAATGCATAAAAATCATTTTTTTACCCACAAAATCATATTATTTACTAAACCAAATTTAAAGTATGACCTAAATAATGTTTAGAAAAATATAAAATACTAAATGTACAATAAGAATTTCTCCGTTTTATTTAAACACGGATATTACAGTGAAGTGAATTATATTATTATTATATTACTATAATATATAATAATAATTTTTTATTTATTTTGCATAAAAACAGTATTTTTCATTATCATTTCAGCTGCCACTTGGACACTTAAATAAGACAATTTTTTTACTTGTGGTATACTATTTAATTTAATTAATGTTTAAAAGACGTAAGATTTCTGGGTTATTTTCAAAAGTTAACTATGTGTTCAAAAGTTTCTATTTTTAATCCATCCTGTAAGTAGGATAATGGTCAAATTGTCAAAATAAAAGCATTAAAAAAACATATATTTCCATTTTATATTCTATTTTGTTATCTATTCAATTTGTTTTGATTTATCAATTTGATTTATTCATTTTCAAAAAGGTAGGGTAATTTTAATTCAAAATAGTAAACAAATTTGAAACTTTGAAAAATTAGGACGGACTGTCTTGACGTTGCGTTTTAGTATAAACACAAGTGTTTTAAAACAAATAATTTTTTTTATTGCACCTTTGAGTTTGAAAGTTTAATAATTGGATAGAAATGAATAATAGTTTTTTTATGGTTAAATGTGATCATATTTTCATAACAAACTTCAAAAACAATTATTTTTAGTGATCACTATGTATCCAAAACATATATTTTATGTGTCGAATAAAATGGAGATAACAAATAAACAAAGTGCAATATTGAGTAGATAATAGTATAAATATAATATATAAATTTTTTATAGTAATTAAATTTAATATAAAATTGGTATTTAATAATACAATTGTAATATTTATGGAGATCATAAAAAATTGTAAAATAGTTGTATATTTCGTTATTTCTATGGCAAGCGTATATAGAAATTTAAGGGATTGATACAATACTTTAAAAAAAAAAAAAAATGTTTAGTTACTTACAAATAAAAACTCAGGTCTACAAGGAATATTTATCAGAGTCCCGAATATACTTTGCTAACCAAATTTTACCACTAATTTCAAATCTGCAATTAGATTTTTTTTGAAGATCTTTTTTGTGATTACTAATTAGTAAAAAACTAGTATTTACATAATAAAAATATTAAAAACAAAAAAGAAACCCAGCACAGTTGGGACGTGGTTAAGTTGGTTTTATAATAATATTATTATTAGAGGTAATGTTGGGTCCAGTATAGATGATATCTGACAATGATTAAAAACACTATCATAAAAAATACTTCGTTGCAAATCTGTAGATGTTGATAGAATCTGTTTAATTTTAAAAAATTGGTCGATTATTCCAAAAGTTACATGATCTCCTATTTCCTTATTTATATTCTGATTACAAGTTTTATGATTTATAAGTGTAATATATGAATATATATATATATTTATAATATATAAAGCAAAATGGTCCGATTTTTAAAAAAAGTATATTGCGTAAAAGAAGAATATAAATAGTACTTATCTTAAAAACATTATAATGATCCATACATTTTTCAAAAAGTTATATCGTATTTTATTATTAACTTTAATGTCCGTTTCCGATGAAAACAAAATAAAGTGCAAAAAAGTTTTTTTTCCATAATAAAGTATATTACATTAGCTTTAATTTAAGGTATATATAAATGTGTCAGTATTCCCGGAAAACTTTTAAAAGTTAATTTTTTGTAAAAAAGTTGTCATTTTGAAAAAAATTATTTTTACAAAACTGATTTGAATTTAATCTGAATTAACCAATGTGTTAAATTAAATTAAATTATTGTGTTAAAAATAGTCTATGCAAAATTTTAATTGAAAATATCATGTGTAACTTATTTCTTTTGTCTTTTATAGTTAATTTTCATGAAAGTTTAACATTTTAAAATTTTGAACTTTAAACCTTCTTTTAGTTTAACATACTAGTTTGAAATTGACATCATTAAATAAAAAATTGTATGAAGATTTAAAAAATGGTTTTGTTTAAGATGATATATTTTTAAATTTCTGAGGGAAATATCTCTAATTAAATACATATTGTAATAATTTGATATATCGTCGAAAAAAACAAATGACAAGACACAAAATAATATTAAATAATGAAATAATTTTAATATGATTAAACATTTTTTTCTTACAAGGAGAAAATACAGTAAAAGGGTCCTCGAAATTCATTGAAGTTATTCAATCTAAATGAGAAAATAATCAAATGAATTATTTTTTTTTTGTATTCAAAAGCAATTAGGAAAAAAATTTATTTCAATGAGCGAGGTTCGAATCTCGTACCTCGAGCGTGAAAGACTGTAGTGTTTATTTTTCGAAAAGTTATAGCCACTTTAAGTACCAAAAGAACATAACGATAGAAGGTGATGTTTGGTGGAATTTACACGAAAATTACATCGACGCATTTGCACAAAGAAGATTGGTCATCAAGACAAATTATTTTTTATGTATTTATAAATTTTACAAATTATATTGTTATAGTACGTACACATAAGCTTTAATTTAATATATGTTTAAAGAACGCAGTATTTCATTTTAAAAGTTAAGTTGAAAATGTTGACTTTTGTGAAAAAGTTGCTATTTTGAATCCCCCTCTTGTGCAGATAAAGGATCAGAATTTCAAAAAAATTATATGAAATAAAAGGGAAATACCAAAAGTTTTTATACAAAATAAAATGATTTTGATTTGTTAATTTTTCAAAAAGTTATGTCAGTTTTAATAAAAAAAAAGTGAAAAAAATGTAAAAATTTACCAATTTTAAACATCGTAATTTTGGGGGATTTACCAGAATAAAGGAAATTTTTTCAATTTTTAAGGGTAATGTCTTCAACTAGATATGTTTTGTGATTTTTTGACATAACGTTAATAGCAATTGACGAGTGCAGAGAACAAATGGTAACAGATACAAATAAAATAAATAGTCACGGGTTAAGTCTTTTTGAATTTACGTCAACTACACCGATACGTTGAATTGAATACATAAAGTTGAAGATAAATATAATTAAAAATGAGAAATAAAAAAATATCAAGTCTTTTAGTTAAAATTTTTACGAGTTTAGATTAATTTGAATCCAAGTTTAACTACCACAAATATTCCAAAATAATAAAGTCACTAGTGACATTAACGCTATAAACCAGTAGTATTTTCACTCCAAAAATTTAATTAAAATCACCCTTCACTTGTCCTAGGTTAAAATCTAAGTGTAATTTCATATGACCAGAACCGTAATTGGAGTAAAAATAATTATTTAATTTTTTGCTTGTATTTGATATAAATTCAACACATTAATAATAGATATTAATCGGAATGCTGATAATCAGGGTAGCTGAAATAAAATTCAGAAGTATATTTTTCATAATATTTTTTACAAATATATTTATTTTTTTTTAATTTGACGAAACTTAAACGTTTTATGTTAATAATTCACATGTAATGAGTTTATAAAGACAATTATATTACATAACTTTTTAATTAAAAACTCAGTAGAATTCGTTCGCTAGTAGTTTTTATTCATCAATGATGTTACTCTATGTTGTGTTTTTTTTACAATTTCCATATACTTTTAACAATGATTCAACAAAAATATTTTATTTAAGTGACTAGCGTTAAAAGAATCATTCTGTATAGGGTGATAGAAATTTAGAAAGACACCGATTTTCTCAGAAACTATTGGGAATGTTTTAATTGTGCAAAGTGAAGAAATATTATGTTCAAAAGATTCTATAATAATATTTAGTTGAGTATTTTTTTTATCCCTTCAAGTATAAAAATCCTGAATTATAATTTTCTTAGATTGAAAGATTAACAATCAATTTTGTTCTTATAATTTTTTTTTATTTGATCACCTGTTACATGTTTAAGTTAAGTAGTATTAGACCATGCAACCTAAAAAAACAGTACCTCTCATTATTTGTATATTTTGTAAATATTTTATTAGAATTTTATTATGATTATAGGATTACTTAGCATTTTAAGTTCTAGCCAAGATAGATGTGTTAAAACAGTCCACTTGGTATTACATTATTATCTTATAATATAATATTGACTGATATACATTATTATGATAAAGTGATGATGTAGTGCTTTTTATTCTAGAGGTCCCAACATCTTAGAACCTAAGTCTAAATATCTAAAACCAGCTGCTTATTTGAGGTGTACACTGGTTGTGCTTTAGCAGTAATGCCGTGTTTGAGTGCCGGCGAGTACCCAAATACATTATAATATTTTCTACTATAAAAGTTGTAGCTGTAGTAATTTTTTAGTAAAATCTGATTTCTTTTCTCTTTGTTCCCTGTCATTTACAGCCGAGGTTAAATGATCGTTCAGTATTTTGCCCCGTATTAATTGAACTTGTCTTTTTTTTTCATTTAGCAAAGTAATAAGATATGCATTATTACGTTATGTATCGATTATTAATGGAATATAAAAAATAAGCTAATTCCTAGAAATAAAACTATTCCAATCACAGGAAGTAAGGACAAAAATAAAACGTTAAATTTTAATTTATTCGCACTCACTCGTACTTTCATACAAACGGTTAAACAGCTTAATTAATAGTATTGCATATTGTATTTTTCCATTCGCATATCATCATCGGAGGTTCGTTGAACTGTACCCTGTATGATTTAAAGGTATACTTTATTACCATAGTAACAGCAAGGTCAACAAACACTGACCTGGTTGTGGCGGCCATCGCACTTGCGGGGGAGTTAGTGGCTTGTACCAAACATGAAAGAGTTTAGACAAGTAGTCTAGGTATTATCAGTTGTTCCTGGAACATGTTAGTAGTGTTTCGAACCAAATACTCAAAGTAATCACGTGTTTCATACGAAGGGGCTTTTAATATATATTTAATTTTTAATTGAAATGTAAATGTTTATACTACAATCATTTAATTTTTAATTTATGATTCATTTAAAGTTAGAGCAAAATTAAGTTGACGTTTTTTTTAAACAGGTAACTATAATTTCTAATCATCATTTTGGTTAAAATGCCTATCATAATTTTGTATTCTTATAAAAAAAAATTAGAGATATTTTTATTATTATTTAAAAAAATTAGAGATATTTATTATTATTTTACTATCATTTTCTAAATCACATTAGATATTTATCTGACTGTTAGAAAAAAATATATGGTTAAAATGAATGATCATGAATTATTTAGTTTCTCGTAACGTCGATAAATAAATGATACCTAGCATATTCAGCAGTTAAGTTAAAATTTTATAATAAAACAATATCATAAAAATTCTTTGACAGTATTTTAAATACTTAATGTATAATTCTTTTAAATTTTCATTATTTTAAGTTTTTCTATTTCACTATAAACCGTAATTCACATGAAATGTACAAAATTCATATTGTAGAGTCACCAAATAATAATTAATTTCAAAATAAAAATAAAAAAATTAACATCATTTTATTTGATGTATAGTTAGTTACCGTAAAATAAAATGAATATAAACTAAAGGGTGGATAAAAGCAATCTTTAAAAAAAACTTAAGAGGGAAATTTTTGTCTTTTTTTTAATCCATCAAATTGATTTACAAAATTCTTTTAAATCCAAAGCGTTTTGTGTGGTCACATCTTACACACTTCAATAGGGTTGATAAAAATATGTTAAAATAACCGTTTAAAACACAAGTAAACGTTTTAGATCATTAAATATTTTCCATAAGACCAGTGTAAATTTTGAAATTTTTGATGTTTTAAACGCAATATTTAAACCATTCTGAACCACCTTGTATATACTTCATGCAAGTGTGTTTCTTTTCTGCCATAAAGTTCTTTTTTCTCATCTTTACGGCAACTATCTATATACAAATTGTCATACATAAAGATAATTGTCTTTTTTAAATAAATTTACAATTAATGCTGAAATATTTTTCTTTTTAATTTATAACTTCAATTTCCTTCATAATTTTTTTAACTTCATATTAAAGTCACGCACTTTGTACAGAATGTTATTATATCCCTTTTAGTAAGGTAATAAAAAGGGGTGTAGATATATTAACTTATGTAATTAGATCACAAAAATAAATACTTTGAAAATAAATAATTGTGTAATAGTTAGACATTCTAACTAGTTTTAAGTTTATGATTATAATATAAGAGTAATTCAACTAAAATGTTTTTGATGATTATAAAGCAAATTGTATAAGCAGATTGTAATCTGCTAATGCGTAATAAGTTATTTAGTAATAATTTATTTAACCAATTACTCGTATCAATAATTTTATTTTATGTCAACGTCTGTAGTTTTATAAAATATGTTAAAATATCGATCGTAAGTATTTACATACCGATTGAACAAATACATAAAAAATTAAAATTCTACTTCCTTTTTTTCAAGGATTTTTTTTCTCGTATTTAATTATTAAAATTTATAACAAAAGAAACTCATGATGCATACTAAAAGTACATAGTACTTGTTGTAGTTAATACCTATGCCATATATGCTACCAAAAGAATAAAAGTAATTATTTACTTGTCGCTACATTGACTATGGATCGCACAGGAAAATCTAGAAAATCCTTGATCTTCATTGCGCAGGCGTTTATTTAATTATTGTGGTTAGAGATGTGTTGGTATATTGTTTAGAGTAACGCAATTTAAGTTTAAATAATAACCTTCACACTAATGTGTATTATATATATATATATATATGAATGGTGCCATATTATACTTGTACTATTGCCAACTAAAACTATTTAAAGGTGCAAGACAAATTTCAGCATGATATAATATTTCCATAATATTTTATTGTATGCTATTGTGGCAATTAATAAAAATCATGTGCAACTTGGTTTCAGTTTCGCATTAAAGTAAAACTATTATTTTCGATTATAGAAATAAATCACCATTAACAATAACAACAAAAAGATGTCATGGTATTGAAAAGCTGAAAATATTCACCAAGACACCGTGACAACGTTGTCTGACCACTATGAATGATCAAACGCGCATAAAATAACTAAATCATTTACACGGTTATCCATTTAGCGCCATGTAACGTAGGAAATTGCATAAATACCTTGTGATCTAAATATTATGTGTTCCCAATGAAAAGCGTGTTAAAAATTATTCGCCAATAATAAAATGTTTACAAAATTTTATTAAGATTACTATATGTTATTGACATGTACTATCATATAAATTTCATTTTTTTACCAGCAACCAGCGTCTTTAAGGGTATCAAAACAAACTTGATAAAGTTGTAAAAGAAAATGAATACAATTATAAATGTTAATAACTAGCAAAGCTTGATAGAAAAATACATTATAAACATGATTTTTAAGGAATTTACTAGTGCGCTTGTTACAACTATTCGTAGTGTTTAATAAGTAGTAAATTCCAACTAGATAGACTAAACCCATTTTGTTTTAATAAATATTTATAGTAGTTTCACGAATACCAATTACAGTACAATAATCTAAATGATTTTTTTTTTATTTTACAGAAAAATGAAACTATGGCTTATAACAGTATTAATAACTATCAGTATATATTTGGAATGTCAATGCGGTTCCATAATCCAGTTTCCTGATACATCTGAAAATTTGGTGAATTATTTTTATTTCAATGAAATTAATTGTTAAAACGTCAAAAAAAAAAACGTTGGTCAGCTTTAAACTATTATTTACAAATGCAATCAACCCAAAAAATAATTCGTGACAAGTAGTAAAATAAATACAACTCTACAGTACAAAATCATTATCAATTAGTTACACTTTACGGCTATATTTATTTATTTTTTATCAAAAGTTACTTTTTTACTAATCTATTAAAACAAAATATTAGAATTCATTCAAATGATATCATAAATATTAAATTAAAGCTGCCTACATAACTCAGTCGATAAAGCGCCGTGCCTCGTTGCGTAGGTACCGAGATCTTTTAAAAAGAACGTTAAACATGGTTAAAAAAAATGCTTCAACCAATTTTCTTTAAATATATTAATTATGAATAAAGTGTTGATGTTTAAAATTTAATTTATTTAACTTAGTTTAAAATTTGTACAGAAGATATTTGCATATAACAATATTTGATCTTTTTTTTAATAAATTATAAAAATGTACAATCAGTGATTATAATAAATATTTTTTTTATTACATTTAAAAAAAAAATATTATATATTTAATAACATTTTATTTGTTAATTAATAGATACGATTAAAACGTCAATCGCCAACAACAGGATCAGGTATAGATTTGTTATTTAAATAAATTTGCCAAATTTCCGTTTAAATAATTTTTTTGAAAAAATACTTCTCTCTACTAAAATCAAAAATTTAATAACAATAATGTTTCCTTTGAATAATCTTGTACCAATTTTACTTGTAGAAACATGTGATTTTGGCGTAGACCCTAACTTAGTTACTTGTGATTGGAAAAATCGAAATGGTTCAGCTTTAAAATGGGAACTAGGAGCTGGAACACTTTCAAATTGGTTAGGAGGTCCACCTGTTGATGCTGGCCAAGGAGATGATGCATTAAGAGGTTTATAGCGAAAATAATCGGTAAAACATTTATTTAAATCATTCTGTATCATTATTTTAGGTGGATACATATTTTTTGAAACATCTTTATTAGCTGCACCAGTTCTTCGAGTAGATGATATTACTATCAGAGAAGGACAAAATGCTTTTATTGAAAGCATAGTTTTAGGAAGTACAGGAGCTGAAGGAAAATGCATTTCTTTTGGGTAAATTATTTATTATAACAATTGATAGGCTATTATATTATCAAATTAATTTTTATATAAATTGTAGTTTTAATATTGATGGCTTAAGTGCTGCCGGATTAAGAGTCATTCTTCAGCCAACTAACAAAGAAGGAAAGCCCGATGGATTTTTTAGAGTTTTGTGGGGTACGAAAGATCCAACTAATAAAAACTGGATGATATCAGAAGTTCTTTACACATACAACAAAGAGCACCAAGTATAAAAATTAAATTTATACTTAAACAATTTTATTTATATATTGCACCATGTTTTTATAGATTGTATTTGAAGGGGTGGCCAAAGATCTACCGGATCCATTTAGAAAATTTCGTGGTTATGTTGCAGTAGATAACATAGCTATAAAACAAGGCTTGGAGTGTAAAGGTCACTGTACATTCGAAGGAGGATTTTGTGGATGGATAAATGATGAAGACGATGATTTCAACTGGTCTTTGGTAATTAAACTTTAATTAATTTTTAATAATAATTTAAAGACTATGAAAGTTTCATAATTTCTTATTAATTTTTTTTTTAACTTTTTGATAACTATAATTAGTTGCTTTATAATTCAAGTAGCATCAACCTTCACATTTTTCGTATTTAAAGTTATAACAGAAATTAATAATAAATATAGAGGTTGGGTAATGGCCAAGTATAATGATTCACAAATAATTTACTTTTATCTGGATTCAAAGCAAATATTACAATTTTGTGATATTAGGGTACAGATATAATACAACAACTTTTAGAAAAATTAAGTCATAACTTATATGAAACATTTATTTTGTTTTAAAATATAAAAACATTTTTTTTTTGTATATATTTTTACATGTGGACAATTGATTAAATATAATTAAAATATTAACTTTAAGTTTCAACTTAATTTTCCAAAAAGTTACAATTTTATACTTGTTTCCCTTTGTCTGAACACCACAGAATTCATTATTAATCGTAATTTACAATAAATTATAGTTTAGAACCTCATAAAAATTTTTATTTTAAGAGTTACACTACTTGTTCTATTAATCGATGGTATAATTAGTCACAGAAATCTTGAAATCAAAGTTACATTATATCGTTATAGGGAAGAGGAAGCAAAAATCCATCAACTGGACCAGCAACAGATAGATCCAGTTTTATTTATGGAGGAATTGAGGGAGGTTACGCCTTTATAGATTCCACCTATCCACGACGGCCTGGCGATATGGCTCGTATATCAAGCATGGAATTTGAAGCAACTGGTAATTTTTTTCTATAAACCAATAAAATAAACATATGAAAATAAAATATGAATGAATAAGAAAATATGATTTTTTTTGTTTATTTTGTAAAATTAGGCCCAGATACTCCAATGTGTTTAAGATTTTGGACACATATGTATGGAAATGGANCCACCTATCCACGACGGCCTGGCGATATGGCTCGTATATCAAGCATGGAATTTGAAGCAACTGGTAATTTTTTTCTATAAACCAATAAAATAAATATATGAAAATAAAATATGAATGAATAAGAAAATATGTTTTTTTTTGTTTATTTTGTAAAATTAGGCCCAGATACTCCAATGTGTTTAAGATTTTGGACACATATGTATGGAAATGGCATCGGTACTTTGACGGTATCAATAACTGATACACGAGAAGGAAGTAACAGAGATATTTGGTCTCTTTCCGGAGAAGCTGGTAATTCTTGGTATCAAGCTGAAGTTCCAGTAGCATCGCCTAATCCTTTTAAAGTAACAATTACTGCTAAAATCGGTAAAAACAATTTAGGAGATATTGCAGTTGATGACATTTCTTTAACACCTGGCAGTTGTCCAAGTAATTAAAATTTTTAATTTTTTACGTATTTTTAAAATAATTTTATTTAAATTAATATTTTCTTTAGCCGCTCCTCAAATCGCTGCTTCCACATCAGGCGATTGTACTTTTGAAGTTGACGAATGTGGTTGGAGCAATGTTGCGTCAAGGGAACGCTTAGATGATATTGATTGGGAGAGAACTTCTGGGGCTGCTTTAAGAAGTACTGTACATGATCATACGCTAGGAAATGATAAGGGTAATTCCCAAAAAAAAAAATAAAAGTTCTTAAAGGATGTATAATTTTATCGAATTTTATAGGATACCTAATGACATTATCACGCTCTGCCCTTCAGCGACCAGGAAGTAGAGCATGGTTCACATCCAGAGATTTAAAAGCAACAACAACACCACGTTGTTTATCATTTTGGTAAGATAAAATTCCTCTAATTCATGGAACCCGGAATAAATTTACTTATTTTTCTATAAAAATTAAATTTTTAATTTATTTATTGTAATAATTAATTTACATTACTTGTTTTAAAATCCTGTTAACTATCCAATTTTTAAAAAAAGGTTTGTCATGAATGAGCCATTTATAGATGCTACTGGACCAAGCCTTGGAGCATTAAGCATATTTTTAAGGAGCACTGACAACAGTGGGGGTATTGTTATGAAACCGATATGGAGGTTGTACAATCATCAAGGACCTGATTGGCAATATGCTCAAGCACTTATTAAAGATCCCAACGATGCTGTAAGTGAATTGATAAAAAATCACCAAAAACATGTATACTTATAATATAACTTTTTTTTTTAGATTTTGTTTGAAGGTAAGTGCTGACTACATGTATAAGTTAATTGTGTAAAAAAAGTTACGTATTAACAATAACTATTTAACATTTAAAATTAATTGGACGGTAAGATAATTTTTATTTATTTAATAAAGACAATAATGTTTCACTCAAAATCTTTTCCTGCTAAAAACTAAATAAAAAGCAGATAAACCTATACAGTTTGATAGAACTGACATACCTACGTGTTTTCAGCTGAGCTGTGCAAACCGCCTAGTACAAAGTATTTCTTTTCTAAAATTCACACAATACCCTCAAAAATATATTACATAGCATATTTTTTCCTTTCTAGAGTTATTAGTATCATACGTTCTATAGTTAAAAAAATATTGGTTCTAACCCTTCATCTTTCCCTTTAAAATTTTATGATGGTTAGTTAATTTATTTCCAACTATAGAACGTAGGATAATAATAATTCTGGAACAAAAAATTAGTCATAGTTTTAATGGTAATCTTGTATGTAATTTACACAGGAAATATACGATAGTATATATGTAAAACATGTTATAGGATTTATTTATACAAACTCTATATTAAATAATATACTACGTATTTTAATATCTATAATTCAATTTAATAAATATTTTATAAATGCTAAATTATATTTTAGGTATTTGGGGTTCAGGTAGAGCTAACGGATTCATTGCTTTTGATGACATAACATTTTTTGATGGATCATGCTCAAGTAAATATTTAATTTAAAATTTTATTTACATGGAAGATATTACTAATATAATTTTTAGCTATGCCAGCTGGAGCTAAAGTACGTCCAGGAGAATGTAGATTCGAACGCGATATGTGCGATTGGATAAATGGAACAGATAAATCTCCAGCTTCGTGGAGAATGGCAACTGTAAATAGAAGACCGGCTAATTTACCTGACAAGACTTTTGGATCGCCAGGTGAGATCACTGCTTAGTACCCAAACTCTTCAAAGTTAAGCTAATAAAAATATTTGAAAATTAAATGAGCATACGTAATATGTTTTTTTTATTTAAGACGGTTACATTTATTACGATTTATTTAATCAAATATTGGGCGCAAACATGGTCAGACTAGTTTCACCTGTAATTCCAGTTACTGATGAGCCTCAGTTATGTTTTTCATTTTGGTATGCGGCATTTGGTGCTGGAGAATCGGCTCTCTTACAAATAATGCGACAAGACAACAGCTCTGGAGACTCGCCAGCAGAAAAAGTTTGTAAATAGAAAAATATTAACTTAACTAATTTTTAAAAACTTTGTATGATAGATTTGGAGTTTAGAAGCCAAAAATATGGATACTACAAGACCTACATGGATGCCAGCTCAAGTCACTGTTGAATCGAATAAACCATTCCACATTGTAATGGAGGGACAGGCAACTAATGGTGGTTTTGCTATAGATGATATAACATTCACACCTGGATCTTGTCCAAGTATGTAAAGTTAATTTAAAAAATATAAATTGTTTTTTCTAATGAAAGTTAAGAAAAACACGTTTTAATGATATAAATATAAATTATATAATTAATAATTATATTTACAGCTCGGCCAGATAAAGCATCACTAAAAACTCAAAAACTAAAAGTAAAATAAAAACGACCATAAAGTGTATTTAGGCCAAATTTTGTAAATTCGATGATATATCTTAATTAATAATTCTAGCATAGTTGAAATTATTTAAAAAAATTATTTCATCGTGATTTTTCAGTTATATAAAAACATTAAAATAAAAAACAGAATAATTTTCTTTTCTTTTTAAAAAAAAACATTTTTACATCAATTATTTATTGCTAAAAAAAGCATCTAGTCAACAGATTTTAATTTAAACCGTAGAATGTTTTACATAACATGAACTGAAATCATAAATTAAATTATTTATATTCAATTATATATTTAATTCAATCTATTCAAATAATGTCTAAATTTTAATCTACAATTATTTTTAAATAGTTTTAATTTTTTTTAAAAATTGTATATCTTTCACCATAAAATAAAAATATATTGCTATTTACTCATTGGGTACTAAATCTTTTCTTTTAAGTAAGAATTTAAAAATAACTTGTATTAAAAATTGTGTAACACAATTAATATATTAAATTAATTTTTTTGTAAGTGACAAAAAAAAATTTCAAAAAGTTTACTTAATAATAATTTAATTAATAATTTTCATTAATAAGTAATATATCAAAAAACTGATCGATGGAATTTATCACCGCTTTTTATGCATCGCTAATATTTTAATTTTAAAATTTAAAAAAATTTATATTAATTGTGACAAACACAGCAATATAAAGTTTACGAAAATTTTATCTAGAATAATTATAGATATTATTATACAATTATTGTGCTGTCTCATAGAAAAATTAATTAAATAAATTATTCGCTTAACATATAAATAAATAGTTTAAGTTACATATTTTATTGTCTTAAAATATTATATTGAAGTTGTTATATAATAATTATGAAAGTTTAGTTGTTGAAAGCATAGGAGACTTTTATGTCTAAAATAAATGTCTTTATAAACAAGTGATCCAATATTATAAGCTCATACTTATAGTTGTTAATATTTTAATGTGTATATTGAAAGTTATAAATTGTATTTTAAATATAACTTTTGTTTTTTATGATTTTGAAATGATAAATTATAGTTTGTCTTAACAATTGCTAATTACACGTATTTTTATAAATATTTATAAAATTACTAACTTTGAATAATATAAATTATTATTTTTTAATTTCAATTGCACCAACATTAAGTTTTAATGAGAAATACTGTTTTTACTAATATTTATAATTATATTTTGTTTATATAACTTTTATACAAAGATAAAGAAATAATATTATTTTTGGAAATTTTATTTTTACGTTAATATTATGATTTTATTAATTTCTATATAAACTGTTTTAATTTTAATTATACTACAGCTATGAAAGAACAAATGCTAAGTGATTATTTATTTTTAATTTTAGATTTTATACAAAGGAAGAGTTATTGACTAGAAATAATTCCTCAATATAAATATATACTATCAATATTTTTTTAAAAATTAATTAATTTAATTTTTTTAACACTTTTTTAATTACAATTTATGAATTAATTTACAAATTGACTAGTTGAGCTGTTTTTTAATAAATTTATCTATAATTTTGTATAATATTTCCGGTTGATCCCAGCTCACTAAATGACCTGCATTTCTTACTAATATTTCCGTAAAATTTCCAGTTGATTTAATATACCCAGCTAATTTTTTATTAATATAGTATGGTTTTCTAGTAGCTTTTTTATAATCATTATCATATGAGCCCTTTAAACTTGAGTACAAACTCACAGACATTGGATAAGCTACTACTAAATCCATCTGTCCATTATAAACTAGTACTGGATATTTGTTTATTATTTGTTCTAAATGTGTTTTGACAGAACTCATAAAATCTGGTATCATTTTATAATAAACTACTCCTAAACTAGTATATTCTATATCTCCCACGTGTAATGCCCGACGACTTTCCACTGTTTGCAGCATTTCTATATAGCTAACGTCATTTACTGCTCCAGATGAACTCCATGGAAACATGTCACCGTTAATTACATTATATAAACTTGAAAACTGAGCTTGTTCGATGAAAGTGCTCATAATTCCACTCCAAGCCTGAAAATAATATATCTATATAAGAAAAATTACTATAACTTAAAATAATGCAAACATAAATACTAGAGTGGGTCAAAAAAATTAATTATTTTTTTTAGTTCCGACACAAAAATATTCGTTATTAAGCACCTATAGATAATTTATATTTAGTCATATTCGCTTCATCTATGATTTTTTTATTTCTGTTGTCCTGTTGTATATTTCTACATTGCATACATGATATATAATAAATTGGATTTCTTTTATATTAATGTATTTATTGTATTGTTCCCTGTAGATAGGGGATAAAAATACTTCCACGGTCCCTCTGTCAGTCTTAAGAGGCGACTAATGAATTTACGTCAGGTCGACAGCCAACGTAAAATTGTTGTCAAAAAGTATAAGGCGTTCTGAACAAAACTTAGGCGGATTGTCACATCTCGGTTGTACACGGGTACAACAAATGATAGCCGACCACGATTAGTTGGGATTAAAGCTAGGAAAAAGAAGATATTAATGTATTTATTGATATTTCTAAAATAAAAACTTATTTTTTTCAACAATGAATCATAAATTATTTCCAAGTAAAAAAAAAGATAGAACATATATCATCAGAGAACCAATTCGGATTTAGAAAAAATATGGATACGAGAAAAGCGATATTGGCTATAAGATTAATAGTGAAAAAAATAATACTGAAAGGTAAGTCAACGTTTATTGCCTTTGTTGACATTGAGAATTCATTCGATAATATTAATTGGAAAATAATTATCAAAATGCCGAAAAGAGCTGGTGTTGTAAGCACGGAAAGTAAACTGCTACATCAATTGTATAAAATTGAATTATCAATCATAAAAATGGAAGATATTCAAAAAGAATCCAAAATAAAGAAAGGTATTATACAGGGTTGTATATTATGACCTTTAATATTTAATAGCTACATTCAAGAGGCCAAAGATATTATAAGAGAAAGAACACAACTAGAAATAAAGGTAAAGATCACAGAATAGACATACTGAGATTTGCGGATAACACTGCGCAATAATAGCAGAGAATAAAAAAGATCTAAAAAATATTTTAGGACCATTGAATGTGATGGAATAACATTTACATATAAAAAAAAACATAAAAAAGACAAAAATTCTAGTATGTAGTAGAGACAATACTTTAAGAACAAGAATAAAATTAAAGGACGACGAAACTGTAGAATAAGTAGAAGATTTAATTAAATACTTGATTAATAACAAGAAATAGTTTTATGGAACTAAAGAAAAAATGGAAAGCTAATGATGAGGAGAAACTTTCTATTAATATTAATAACTAAAATTTGGTGAATACTATTTAAAGATGCTTAGCAACTAAAATTTTTGTGTTGGAACCAAAAAGAAAATAATCAATTTTTTTGACACATCTTAATAAATACAGTTATACATACATAAAAAGCGTCTACATAATGTTTTTCTTGAATAGCTTTCTTTCCTTGGGTTTCTAATCTGATTATATCTTGACGAGTGTTGTTGTCTATCAATCCTACTTGATACATAAAATCACTATAACACAACAAGGTTTCAGGATCTAAAAATCCGTTACCAATAACGATTCCACCTATTTTTACATCTGCTGATCTTTTATCATTATGTAATAGTGATGCCAAAGATAGAACAAATTTTCCTTGAAAAATTATTTGACACTTTTGTTAAATTCAGTTTAATATAGCAAGTCAAAAAGGAATACTATTTACTTACCTCCATATGACTCTCCCATTATATATAATGAACTTGCCCGTTGTTCTGGAAACATTATGTAAAACTGCATGAGAACTTCAAAAAGCTGATCTCCAGCAGTTGAAAAGTTCGTTGCATAACCATCATTGTGTTCAGTAAAACTATATCCTAGTCAATGAAGGAAATATGTGTAATTAGGATGACAATTATTTTAAAAAATTTCAAATTTTCCTCAGGTCTTCATTTTTTTACGATTTTAAATAATCTAAACTTTTTTTATGAAGATTACTTATTATATTATTCTAATTATTAAAAAAAATTAAAGCTACAGTAGGTATAAAATATAAAAATTATATTTTATAATAAAATATTTTTCGTTGTCAAAAACCAATGTATGAATCTATAAATAAAAACAAACGGTAGCACTAGTTGGGATAATTTGATATATTGTTTAGATAAATTGTTCAAGTAAAAGCTGAGAAAAATTAATGACAGACTCAAAAAAAAAACATAGTAAAATATTTTAATTTCCGAAATTCCTTTCCACAAAGGGAGATTATAGTGGTGGTGTCCTTGATATTCATTGAAGTTATACAAACTTAATGAGATAAAAATCAAACAAACTTTAAATTTTAATATCTTTTGTCACTTTTCTCAACTCTCACTGGACCAATTTCTTTCAACGAAACGTCAAAAGATCCCAAATCGTATCTAGTTGAAGACATTACCCATAAAAATTGAAAAAATTCCATAGTTAAGTGTGAATAGGGGAAATCCCCCAAAAAATTACAATTTTTAAATTGTAAATATGTACTATAAGTTCAAAAAAAAAAAATTGTTCCGACGACTTATCTTCTATGTGCAAATAGATTCCGTATTAAAAAAAAACATTTTAGTGTTAAAATTTTCGATTTCATATTTTATTTTTTCAACATTAAATAACAATAACTTTTTGAAAAATGTTTGGATCAATACGATTCTTATTCATAAATACTTCTTTCAATCGACATACTTCTTTTTATTTTTCATTTTCTTTTATACTCTTTATACTCTTTTATACTTCAATTTTCAAGGATAATATCCAAAACTAGATACTAATTGTGATCATTTGATGTATTGTTGAAAAGAATTAGTCAACTGTGCATCACATATAATAAAACGGACAATTTAAGCTAGTTCAAAAATTCAAAGTCATTTTTTCTTAACTTAGGAAAGGCAAAATTTCAAAATACGTTTAAATTTAGATTCAATATAGGTTAGATTCATGTAATTTTTATAAAAATTGATGACTTCATTAATATAGCAAATCCTTATAAGGTATTTTAAAATGAACAAAAATAACAAATTTGTTCACAATAATAGATTGTTTTTTAATTGCGGCAGCTTATTGCACATAGAAGATCGTCGGGACAAATATTTTTTTTAATTAAAGTAAATTTTATAAATTTTAATTTAACATATGTTTAAAGGACGCAGTATTTCCGGAACATTTTCAAAAGTTAAGTTGAAAAAGTTGTCTTTATGAAAGAGTTTCTATTTTGAATCCTTCCTGTGANTTATAAATTTTAATTTAACATATGTTTAAAGGACGCAGTATTTCCGGAACATTTTCAAAAGTTAAGTTGAAAAAGTTGTCTTTTATGAAAGAGTTTCTATTTTGAATCCTTCCTGTGACAAAGGATTAAGTCTTTATAAGTTCATGTAAAATAAAAGGGAAATACCTCGGGTATTTACATATAATAATTATTTTGATACGTTCATTTTTAAAAAAGTTATGACTGTTTTAAGAAAAAAAGTGTCGAAATTTACCGATTTCAAAAATCGGTATATAGTCTTCAACTATATATGATTTGTGATATTTTGACATATCATTTAAAGAAATTAATTTAGTGAGAACTGAAAAAAATAGCGAAAGACATAAAAAACATATTATAGTAAAATTAATACCTTCTCAGCTATTCATCGAAGCTAAAAAAGAGATAAATACGTTACAAGTCTCATTGATAATTATTAAATGTAAAATTAATTATTAAATAGGAGATTCATGTTTTTTAGCTCATAACCGGAATAGTTATATAGAAACAAAGGTTATTTTCTCACTGGTTAATTAGGCTAGTTCGAAATATATCATTGATTTTAATTAACTTTCATGTAACATTACATTTTATTGATATCCTACTACTAGATAACTACTATTAAAACAAAAGATAATTTTATTGTAGTAAACTAACCTGTTCCCACAGGACTGTCTATAAACAACAATGAATTGTTGCTATGCCAGGATAATGGATTTTCACTCACTGTATAGTTTCTACCATTAAAAGAACATAGAAACGGTCCAATTTCTTTAAACACACCAAACATTGAACTAGCACCGGGTCCTCCTTGTAACCATATTATTAGCGGCGCTTCTTTAGAGTGATAGAGACACTAAATATTAATTAAGATTATTTTTAATAAAAATATATCGTTATTAAATATATATTATATATACTTAACTATTTGTTAAATATTAATTTTTAAATTGATAAGTTCACTTAATAAATAATTTTGAGTATATTCCTAATAAGCCCTATTTTTTTTAATCTGCGAATATTAACAGCCTATAATAAGTTATTATTAAAAATCAATATTTTAGATTGAACTATGTTATATATGCATTTTTAATGTATGTAACATATCATACAGTTTAAAAACACTGGCTCAGTAAATTAAAAACTAGGAAGTCTAGTAAAAAATAGTAATAGAATCTTGAAAATTTTATAAATGAAAAAATCAAATGAATTAAAAATGCTTAAATCAAACACCAAAAAAAAAAAAATAATAAAATATAAATATATCAACTACATACCGAAGCAGGAAAAAACCAAAAAAATAAGTTTGAATTAAATTCTTTGCTAGTTGTGAAATATCCTGAGTAGCTAGTTACAGTCTGTGGGTGAAATACATCAGTAACACGAGCCAGTTGTTTAGCTTTAAGTATTTGTCCGTTTTGTAGATACTGAGTCAATAAAAGAGGTTCCCCTGTACGTGTTGAACTTTCAGGTTTTGGGTCCCACAAAGGATATGCACTGCGAAGATAAAGTGGCGTAGACTCAGAGGATAGACTAGCGGCTCGCCATAAACAACAGCCGGCGTACATAAGAATCCCTAACGCGACGCGCATAATGCACGACTGTACTACACACACACTATTTTTTTCAAGGACCATCATGGCCTGAACATCAATTCCGGTGGGGATGAAGGAAAAATACTACTTAAAACGTAGAGTGTCAGTGTGTAAAGTAATATTTCCTCTATTTTTTAAAGACATTACATTAAAATAATTTTTATGAATTAATCTTCAACTGAACTTTTTTATATAATACTAGAGATGTTAGTCGGTATTATACATGTGTATTATACATGCGTATAAAATTATTTTATAGCGGCTGTATCAAAAAAAAAAAAAAAGAAGCTTTATCAACATTTATATTCTTTTGGATTTGATTTTAATTGATGTACGCAATTGTAATTACTGTTATAGATGGATTACATTATTAGATTTAAATCTATAATCGTGATTATTATTGTAGATAAACAGATGTATTTTTATAACACAATTTTTCGTCAGATCCACCAGGGAAGTATGGTTATCATAACGAACAAAATTAATGGACTTGTGTGTGGTATGACCGTGGTCTCATTATGTTTTTAGTACTGCCACACATTAATCCTAACACATTTTAAGCACCAACGTATGTTGGTTTAAATGGAAGAAAGTAAATACACAGAACAGGTGGATCTATTTTGGGTAAAAGTATTTTGTTTTGTGATTTAAATTGTTTAAGTTTAATGTATTATTTGCAAATTACGAACTAAGATGGGTCGTCCATCCAAGCAAAAACAAATTGTAAACCAATATTTTTCAAAAAAATTTAAAAAATTAGGAAAACTTGATTCTTATGAGTGTATTTTTTGTTCGCGCAATTTTGCTTATAACTCATGGTGAATGGTCAAACACTTAATCACTTGTACAAAAACTACTATCAATTTTAAGAATTAGGACTTGCCAATTATCAAAAATTTATTTAAACCTCAAAAATCTACTATCTGATACTTATATATCAATTCAATTAGATGAATGAACAAATATTAGGTAAAAATTTTTTGTTTTTTTTTGTAATTAAAATGATTATAACAATAATATTTTTTTGATACCAGTGCAATTTATAAAAATACAATAAGGTAATATAATTATAAATTATTTTTTTTGGTACTCTCTATTTACATTAGTTTATAGTCAAAATTTGATAATAAATAGGCAACATATCTATATATTACCAACTATTTCTATTGATACTTTTTGCCATCAACTTCTTACACTTTTTTAAGTTTATATACATTTAAGGAAACACAAAATTCAACAAGAAGTGTAATTAAACAGTTTAAATTACTTCCACATACTCAATTCATTGCTAAAAAACTTCCAGGATGTTGGAATAAAGGATAAAGATGTGAAAAACACTTCTATAACTTTGAAATTACTAGTAGCCACACGTTGAGGATCAGAATCAATGAGTTTGGAAAGCTTATTAAAAAATAAACAATATCTAAAGCAGGTAGCAATGTCAGACAAACCAGAAAATGTGTTAAGTAAAGATTCAACAAAAAGTATATTAGACAACACAATATTTTGGTTGCATGTTGAGACTTTCTACAGTCTTTTAAAGCCGCTGTCAAGCTGGATTACTATTTTAAAAACTGAAAAATGTAATGTATCAACAGTTGTAATAGCATTTAATAATATTCGAAATGTTATTCAAGAACAAATTCAAAATTCAACTCTAATAAAAATGTAAAAGTGTTTATTATTATAGAAATTAGAAAAAAAAACACAAATGGCAGTTAAAAAAAATATATTTAGCCAGCCANTATCAACAGTTGTAATAGCATTTAATAATATTCGAAATGTTATTCAAGAACAAATTCAAAATTCAACTCTAATAAAAATGTAAGAGTGTTTATTATTATAGAAATTAGAAAAAAAACACAAATGGCAGTTAAAAAAAATATATTTAACCAGCCCNTAGTCAAAATTTGATAATAAATAGGCAACATATCTATATATTACCAACTATTTCTATTGATACTTTTTGCCATCAACTTCTTACACTTTTTTAAGTTTATATACATTTAAGGAAATACAAAATTCAACAAGAAGTGTAATTAAACAGTTTAAATTACTTCCACATACTCAATTCATTGCTAAAAAACTTCCAGGATGTTGGAATAAAGGATAAAGATGTGAAAAACACTTCTATAACTTTGAAATTACTAGTAGCCACACGTTGAGGATCAGAATCAATGAGTTTGGAAAGCTTATTAAAAAATAAACAATATCTAAAGCAGGTAGCAATGTCAGACAAACCAGAAAATGTGTTAAGTAAAGATTCAACAAAAAGTATATTAGACAACACAATATTTTGGTTGCATGTTGAGACTTTCTACAGTCTTTTAAAGCCGCTGTCAAGCTGGATTACTATTTTAAAAACTGAAAAATGTAATGTATCAACAGTTGTAATAGCATTTAATAATATTCGAAATGTTATTCAAGAACAAATTCAAAATTCAACTCTAATAAAAATGTAAAAGTGTTTATTATTATAGAAATTAGAAAAAAAAACACAAATGGCAGTTAAAAAAAATATATTTAGCCAGCCCTCTTTTAGACCCAAGAAAATAAGGTACATTTTTAAAGAACAATGAAAGTATTGATGCTGCAGAATATATATGTAACTTGGCAGAACATTTGCAACTCAAAATTCCAGATATCATGTCTGAACTTGCTGAATATCGTTCAAATAGTAGGCTATGGTCTAAGGAATTTGTTTGGAATAGTTTAAAGACTCGTAGTGATGGAACACAATATAGTCCTATAACATGGTGGAAGTGTATTTGTTCTTCAGTTAAATTTTCAACCATTACAATTGGTATATTAGAATGCTACCCCACGTCTACATTGACAGAACGCAGTTTTTCAACGTATGGTCTTGTTCATACAGCTCAAAGAACAGATTAAAAAATGATCAAGCATCCAAACCAGTGTACATTAAACATAATTTAAAAATTAAAAAGATTTGAAGGTTAAAAATATTAAAAATTTAAATGGCAACTGTGATGATCAACATTATAATGAATTTACTGATTTCAATTCTCATGATGAAAATATAGGAAGATGGTTTAAGTATATGTGACTCCATTTCAGATAACGAGAATGAAACAAATGAACAATTTGATTATGTCATTGCATATAAAAATTAACTCTTAGTACTCTGTGATACTAAAATTTATAAGTGATAAGGTTTTAGGTAACAAATTTTAATAAAATTATAGATTTTAAAATTATAAGATGTTACTTTTTAATTTTTTAATAGTTTACTTAAAGGATAATTTTTTTTTTTGTTAAGAAAAAGTGAGTTTTATTATTTTATCTATTATGTTATTAAAAATTTTAAGTTTTTAATGTGGTAAAATTCTAACTGTGTATTTATACTTGTTTAAAAGGGCAGAGTTCTCAGAACTGTAGCATCATGGGTATTTTCTGGTTGCAAATTGACTATAGTTGGTACTTAGTTGATACTAAATCATCCTCTAGACAGGAATTCAGGATAGAAAAATATCTTAGTTCAATACTTTAACTAATTACTCCCTGAACGTTTAGTTTTCATCAATTTTGATAAAGGCTTTTTTAGTAAGTACTCATTTATTTATTAAGTTTTATGAAAAATAATCTCTTAAAGTTTATTTTTTCCCTAACTTTAAGGTGCCACAAGGTTTTATACGGTATTATACGATATAATACAACAAAAAAATAAAATACCGTATTTTAACAACTCTATATAATACATACTAAAGACAACCTTACTAAAATAAATAAAAAAAAATCGATTTACATTTTTATAAAATTATTAAAACTCTTCATTGTTGAATCTGTAAAATTATTTTACTATTATTTTTACACCTATTAAGGAAAATACTGAATTTCGTAACACAATTCATATAAAAATAATTTTTTTATCACATTACTTTATGTAATACTTGAATAACTCAAGAATTCAATATTTGTCTGGTTATTACATGGATAACATTGTCTTACATGTGTTATTTTTGTATCTATACAAAATAAATTGATATCACATCCGCAGGAAATCCGATAGCAACATACTAATTATTATGGCATATTTTTGTTTCAATAAACATTATACAATACATACACACACTCAGTAGAAAAACTATTGTTTTCAACTTATTAATATGATCTGTCATTGAACAGTTAAGTTATCATTAGCCCTTGAAATAATGTAAAAATGTACTTTAGTACGAGAAATCGTATGGTATTATTAATTAACGTGTACGAATTTAGCACACATTTTCGGCGGAAGGGGCAGCAAATGAAAAATATATTTTAAAACTTTTCATACAATTTCTTATATTAACACATTAATACTATTGACGTAACTAAATGAAGGCTTTGAGAAACCTTAAAATTAGCCATCTTGACATTATGGTTTCTAAACTTAGAGTAAATTTTATAAATGGTTACTTAAATTTCATTATGGTTATTTTATTGTGTGTTTAAAATATATTTGAGATATCTTTAGAACTTAAAATAAAATAATAAATAGATATTATTATCTAGCTGAAAATTTATTTCAAATAACGCGTTAACAAACCTGATTTCGAAAGCGCAACAAAATAAATGAGTTTTAGATTTAACGTTATTCGTTAAACACATAACATAGAACTGGGGTTATAAAGCCATTATATTGCGATAGCGAAAGCAAATGAGTATGGTAGAGAACTAAATATATACAACTTATGCATAAAGTATGCTAAAAATGCCTTAAAAAGTAAAAAGAACTTAAACATCCAAAAAATATTCAATACAAAATGTACGATTTCAAACAAAATTTTGCTCGACATTGCATACGTCAGACTGAGCGGAATTATAGGTCATAAAAAATGGTAGAATTAGGCTTGGTATTCCATTTCTAGTTACACTAATGACTAATATACGGATTACGGAGAGGCATCTCATCACCCTTTACCAAATCTTCCATCGATTATAAATTAATTGAAAAAACAATATTTACACATTACAGTCATTTAAAAATGTCTGAACAAGTCTCTATAAAAAATATTTATAATTGTTGATTATAAATTCTAAACCCCTAACAAAATCATTTTTTTTTTTTTTTGAGTTATATAATATGAATTATCTAATTTTATGTACTATAATTCATTTACGTGTGGCGCCTTCACTGCTTTTTTGTCAATGAATCGTGATTGAAATAATGAAAAAATCAATCAAAAGAAAGCATTGAGTAAAAAAGGATTTTCTTGTTTAGTAACTAATGAAATCTTATTTTCTAAAAAATTCGTTAACTAATTGAGTAATATTCTTAGATAAGTGAAATTCAATTTTTTTTTAGCTGAAGGTTGTTTAGATGTGTCAATACCCAGAATGAGTTTATGTTGGACAGTTTTATCAGAAATAAAACAAGTCATTTTTTTGATATTTTTATGTAATTCGTAAAAAATATAATCAATTTTACGCCCAATCTACTGACATCGCTGTCATTTGCGCAAGTATTTTTCCCGCAAATATAATACTTTTAATGTATAATATATAATTTCGTTCATAAGGCTCATGAAAAGAAGCTTATTTTAACTGGTTCTCCTTCCCATAAAGCACCCAGTTATAACTAAAATTGTTGTATTAGCCTTAAAAGATTTTATTATTTTTATGAAAACTAAAATTCATATAACTACCGATGTTGGCTAACGTTGTGAAGAGGGCGTTTTATTTCTACAATACAACATTACAACTCATTAATAGTTAATAAAATATCATAATATGATTTTTAAATAAAGTTAAAGAAGTCATTTAATATATTTTTTTAATTCAACCACGAAAATATTTCTAAACATTCTCCAAAAATTTTGTGAGCGCCAATTTTATTATGATTATTTTTTTTGATATGGCTTATATTATTTATAAAGTCTTTTAATAAAGTATATTACTCATTATAAAGTCGTTTTTAATAGGTTTTTAGTAAAACAAAAGATCTTATAATTATGACTCATTTTATAATGCTGGCACTCGCGGAGATATGCCTATAGCCAATCACTTAGGTATATTGAATCATTTATAAGAAAATATAAATTATATGTCATATGAGATTTTAGTCACGTGGCGACAAAGTCAACAAGATATCCTATTAAAGGTGCGCGTGCTCACTGTACAATTAATATTCATACAACCGTCTCAGAGAATAGAACGAAGGAAATTAACTTGTCAGGATATTGTAATAGATTGGTCATTGCACTTCCCAGTGGTTTCAAAATGAATACACTACACCCTCTTACGTAAATCACGTATTAATTAAATTATAGATACATGCAACGGAATAGCTTTGAACTGATGAAGGCATTTAATCATTCAATGACAGGATAACAGTCAGAAGTTAAGTTCCTTGGGAACCGTATGACAACAATTCAGATAGACCTCATTCAGTATTGATTGAAATCTAAGAATATTTTAAATTACTAACATATAATGGTATAAAATGTCACTTTTTCTTAAGCTTTTAATCATTTCTGAGCTTTAAGCATTTTACACTTGAATATAGTATACGATCTAATTAGTTATTATTTTATGTTAAAACTAACTTTAATAATCATCTTATATCAACCGTTTTTAATCAATTATACTTACAAGGTGCGTACCGAGGGGAAGTCAGTTATATATTTCCCAGTGAAATCAGCTGCTACCCAAAATAATGTAATACAAAACTATGATAAATTATGGTTAAATTTTTATCAGTATAATTTAGTTATCTAAACTAAATTTTGTTTTTTTCATCGGTATCGNTGAATACACTACACCCTCTTACGTAAATCACGTATTAATTAAATTATAGATACATGCAACGGAATAGCTTTGAACTGATGAAGACATTTAATCATTCAATGACAGAATAACAGTCAGAAGTTAAGTTCCTNATAATTTAGTTATCTAAACTAAATTTTGTTTTTTTCATCGGTATCGTAACATTATTGTAATCAAAATCAAATGGTATAAATAATTAATAAACAACAATATGTAAAAATAAAACTGAATATTTTTTGCACGATGTAGATAAAATAACTAAATACATAGGAAGGCCTAGTAGATTTCCTGTTGAATTTTTTTTATTGTCTTATATTTTAAATACCTATTTTAACAAGGAATTAATATTTGTAAATTGTTATTAATATAGTATTAGCAGTATTTTAAACATAATAGTATTTACTAAGATGGGAACCTCAACTGTTCACATCGTAAACCCACGAAAAAATAAAATGACTAAAAAAAAGACATAAGAGGAACGTATTTTGATAAGATCCAACCTCCCCTCATTTAAAATATCTGGACACACTACAATTTTTAGCATATCCGATTAAAACAAATTAACCAAAAACTTTTTATGTCAATAATTTAATATTTTATTAGTACTAATTTTAGGGACATTAAACTTAACACATTATCTTTATTAAAAACATATCACAGACATACGTAAATTACACATAAATCAAACACTTGTATTAATATTTACATAATAACTTTAATCTGCTTGGCTTAATTCAACTCAAATTTTTTATGTCATTAAATATTTTATTTTTATTTTTTTATATACTTTTTTTTTTTAATAGCCTTTACTTTTTATATACTTAAATAGTTAATTTCGTTTACAGTTACTAACATGTATTAAATTAATAAAATTCACAGAAAACTAACAGAATATATCTATAAGAAATTAAGATGTTATAACCCAACGTGATTATAACATAAGTAAAAAACATATCTGTAAAACTAATTCTATTTAGTTAATAAAGGTTCGATGTTTATCAGAGTAGCTACTTTGCCAGTCTTCTGTATTGCTGTTAAAACTTCCTCCGCTGTCACTGGTGATGAGCACGTTACACGAACCAATTTCTTATCAAATGACACTTCATATTTTTCAACACCATTACCTAATTGAAAACAAAATAGGTCAAATTAAATCATAGTACAGGAATAATTAATATCTAGTAATAGCAATCTATATTTTATAACAGACAGAATAAACAATAATTATTCTTATATTATAAATGATATAATATTTATGAGCATCAAATAATAGAAACAGTTTTAATTTAATTCACTTTTAATGTACAAATAGGGTTTTAAAGATCAGCTACTTTCTTTTAGATATAATTTAGCAGTAGTAGTTTACATATATTAAACTTACCTTTTAAAGGTTCTAATACTAACTCAATTCCTTTTGAGCAACCGTCACAGCTCATATTAACATCGAATACATAAGTCTAGAAAATATGTTTGTAAAATTTAATATTAAATATATTTTATCAATAAGTATTATTTCGGATTTATTTTCTATACGGTAAAATCAATAACTAAAATTACAAAAAATTGTGTGAAAACGATCATTAGAAGTTGTAGCGAAAAAAAAAACCCAGCACAGGGGGGTCGCGGCACAGTGGTGACGTGGTATAGATGGATCAAGTATAATGATATCTGACAGTGATTAAAATCACTATCAAAAAAAAAACGCTTCGATGCAAATCTTTAGAAACTGTTTTATTTTAAAAAAATGATGGACTATTCCAAAAGCTACATGATCTGCTAGTTCATTATTAATATCCTAATTAAGATAAAGTATGTAGAATGAAAAAGGGATTATTAAAAAATATTATTTCTCATAAAAAAATAATGTTGATCCATACACTTTTCAATATGTCATAGCATTATAAAGTTAAAAATGTAAAAAATAAAATCGAGAATTTTCACACAATAATAGCATTCGGTAGCCATTTTCACCGTGAAGATAAAATAAAGTCCGAAATTTTTTTTTCGCATAATAAAGTAAATTACATTAGCTTTAATTTAAGATATATATAAAAGTGTCAGACTTTCCGGAACACTTTCAAAATTTAAGTTGAAAAAGTAAATTTTTTGTGAAAAAGTGGTCATTTTTAATCCCCTCCTGTGGGCAGGTCTAGGGTCAAATTTATAAAAAAAAATATATCAAATGATAGGTAAAGATATTAAGCATCTATAAAAAAAAAATGATATTGATCCATACATCTTTCAAAAAGTTGTAGCATTATAAAGTTAAAAATATAAAAATGAATTTTTTTACAAAAATCGTATTTTTTTTATTAAGTTTAATGTCTGTTTTTACCATGAAGATAAGATAAAGTCCGAAATTTTTTTTTTTCATGATAAAGTATATTACATTAGCTTTAATTTAAGATATATAAAAGTGTCAGACTTTCCGGAACACTTTCAAAATTTAAGTTGAAAAAGTAAATTTTTTGTGACAAAGTGGTCATTTTAAATCCCCCCCTGTGGGCAGGTAAAGGGTCAGATATAAAAAAAATATATACCAAATGATAGGTAAAGACATCATGCATCTATAAAAAAAAAATTATATTGATCCATACATCTTTCAAAAAGTTATAGCATTATAAAGTTAAAAATATAAAAATGAATTTTTTTACAAAAATCGTATTTTTTTTATAAACTTTGATGTCTGTTTTCACCATGAAGATAAAATAAAGTCCGAAATTTTTTTTTTGCATAATAAAGTATATTACATTAGCTTTAATTTAAGATATATATAAAAGTGTCAGACTTTCCGGAACACTTTCAAAATTTAAGTTGAAAAAGTTAATTTTTTGTGAAAAAGTTGTCATTTTAAATCCCCCCCTGTGGGCAGGTAAAGGGTTAAATTTATGAAAAAAATATACCAAATGAAAGGTAATGATATTATGCATCTATATAAAAAAGAATTATATTGATATGTTTATTTTTGAAAAAGTTATGGCACTTTTAAGTAAAAAAAATTGAAAAAATTTCGAAAATTAGTGATTTTTAAATTTGTAATTTTTTTGGAGGTTTCCTCCATTTACGGAGAACAAGGGAAATTTTTTCAAATTTTGAGGGTAATGTCTTTGACTAGATACNTTTTTGGAGGTTTCCCCCATTTACGGGGAACGAGGGAAATTTTTTCAATTTTGAAGGGTAATGTCTTTGACTAGATACAATTTGTGATCTTTTGACGTATCGTTGAAAGAAATCCGTTCGGTGAGAGCTGAGAAAAAGTGGTAACAGACACAAAAAAAAAAAAACACATCTTAGTAAAACCTATACCTTCTCAGCTTCGCATCGAAGCTAAAAACAGTAATAGTAAGACAGTCAATTTATTACCAGTATAATAAAGGTTGTGTCAAAATGTGTTTTACATTGGTGAAATCATTCACCAAACTGCATTGAAATAATTAAAGTATGACTTCATTTAAATCATTAATACAACCTAATTTACAAATAAAATCTTAATTATCATTCAATTAATTGATTATTATTTTATTTCACTGATGATAGATTTCAAAATTATCGTTTTTAACCATTGAATTTTGTATATTTTTATAAATATCTATCGGTATTTATGACAGTTTTGAGTTAACCATGTTTTCAATTTTAATTTTCTCATGACATTTTTAATTATTGATTGCAATAAAAATATTATCAAACTAGAAAACATAATCATGTCTGCAATCGGTTGATTTAATTTTGTTTAAATTTTCGTACTCGAAGAAACAAATCTTTATTAAAAAGTTTCATTTTCAAAAAATAATATTTAATTTTTATTACATTTGATTTCGCTTCGAAAAAATATAAAATAAAAATTGTTGGATTAATAAGTATACATTGAATGCATTATTAATAATACGCATATATAACAATTTATACATTAACATACCCAGCAAACACTAAATAAATATTTTTAATTTACTGTGCTATACACGCACACAACACATAAGACGAAAAGGAAATATGAAAAAAATGTTACACGTGTGTATATTATTAAACCATATTTTTTATTACCTGAGATTGTAGTACGGACATTATATTATAATGATTAAAACGGAAGCTGCAGAATTTAATGGCAGATCGGACAATAATCGTGAAACTATCGGCAGCAGCAGACACTGACTGCACCAAATCTATGCACTCTTGTTGTTCCATGGAAGAGGGGGAGTACGACGAAAACAGGGCGGAATTCTTATGATGAAAACGTACTCAATTCCATGACCGTATTGTTTGGGTTTTTTTTTATCGTTACTACTTTACACTGTACGCCTGTGTCGCGCTTGTATAGTAGTAATACGCTTGTTATTGGAAAAATAAAATTAAAACCGAATAAGTTACTTGTTGACATCAGAACCATTTCCAACGAGTGAATTCCGACTCGAACTAGTAATGTGAAAAGAAACTCACAGATTTCCTCGTCACTACTTCGTCAACCGAAACCTGTACCGCATCTGCATTGTCAATCCATTCCATTTTCCCCGTAATTGCCTGTTAGCAAGATTTTCTTCACCTGTTTTGAAAGATGTAGCCCACTAGAGGTGAACGCACTGAACAATCGCTTTTCACGGCTCGAAGAGATTGTTAGCCATAACAATGTACATCTATAGTCTTGTAGATTTTAACACAGAGAAACTTAAATATTAATTCAATTATCGTTAGTAAATATTAGAAATTATCGTTGGGACTAGACAAATTATACTAGCACTTTAGTAGTTTACATTTTATTGAGAATATTAAATTAAAAATAATACACGCATCAAAGCTCAACAAAATTAATTTAAAATATCTGTAACAAAAAAATCTGTTGTACTATTTTTTAATTTAAAATAACTATAATGATTTACTAGTAACATTTTTTTAGTAAATTATATTTATTTATAATCTGTTTTATATTATAACACTTATAATTGAATATAATATATTATAATAAAGAACTTTGTTATGTTATTTAAACGACTATTAATGAAATTTTAAACATTTATTCAGGCGGGTGTATTAATTTTTCTGAACATAGCCAAAATTACAAGACCAATTTTTAGTTTTCCAATAAACGAAATAACTTATAATATTCAAACGGATTGTATAATTTTTACAAAACGAATTTTATAAACTAACATGTACATAAGTTTAATTAATACGGTAGCAAATTACCAGTGCGTAGACCGGTTTCGGTGGTGCGAGTTAAACTCTTTTACCGCCTTCATTGACCATGTGGTATTTATTACGCATTTCAATATCGTACACATACATTTAATATTATGAATCTAATCTCATAATTTGCCTCTTTTTTACACATATTTTTAGTAAACAAATAAGACCATTACCCATGTCACATGTTTCATAAATATAAATAGCATAATATTTCTTTTTTCGAATTTTAGCGAAATAAAATTATAAATATTTTTACTTGGATTTCAAGACATTTAATACATTTTACTATATTGCAATTTTTATACAAGTATAATTTATAAAAGTAATATAGTAAAGTTTATCATAATTTAGTAATTAATACAATGATGAATATTATTCGACTTTTTACCTATTTTCATTATTATTTGTACAATATTTTTAGTTTAATCCTGTCGCGACGTACTACCAATCAAAAATTAGAAAAAAATTAATTGAATTTATATTAGCAATCTGTATAGTTCGATCGTGTGTTAAATTCTGTTCCACTAAGCTCTACGGGTTTTTTTTTGTCTCGCATAATTCGCTAACTGCAAACGTTTAAGGTAATTACTAAGAATATGAAAATATATAGACATTTATTTTTAATAAAAAATGTTTACAAAAAAAAATGCCATTACCAAAAAAATCTTTAGAAAAATACTCAAATTAGAATAAAATAAATCAGATTATACTTTGAATAAAATCAATTTATTAAAATAATAATATACGATTTTTATTATTTTTTTAGTCGGTGCCAGTCCAGGTTAGAAACGTGTAACAACGAAGTACTAAAGATTACTCGTAACTAAGACGAGTAGACTACATTTAATTTTCAATCGACAACATGACAATAGGCATACAGTGTTGAACAGTACGGGCCGCAAGAATTTAGTTATAATTTCGAAAATTTGAGTATAAGAGACGGCCAATATTGACAGTCAACGACGTTTACCCTCGTTCAGGTCGCCCACTAAAGCACGTTCCCCTCCCGCCCCTGTTCCTCGTAATGTTCAACACCTTCTATCATCTGTCTTATTGTCGATTATAAAAACACATTCATACACGTTTGTTAATTTTGGATGGAACCGACTCCTAAAATTAAAACAATTGTATATTATTATACTAATAAATTGATTTTATTCTAATTCGATCTATTTAATTATATTTAATACATTTTCATTTTCGTAACAACGAAGTACTTTTTTTTAATAAGTATTTTTTAATTATCAAATTATAACTTAATGATGAAGGTAGAAGATAGGTAGTTCATTAAGGCCAATTATAGTGACAGTAAACACCATTGAAATGTCACAAAAAAAGCAAAATTGCAATTTCGTTTTCTTGGAGATGATATATTTTTCCAATTATTTTGATTTAAATATCTAATTACTAAACCAATTTTTTTGTTTTTTTTTTTCTCTTGGTTTGATTTGGTTTTGGATGTATTGCATTGGGTTAATATTTATTTCAAATATTTTTATTTAAAACTAAACTTTTGAAATGTTTTTTATAATAAAATGTATAGGGCACATTTGAAAGGATATCTTGTTAAATAAAAAAAATGAACAAATCAGTTTTAAAAAGACAGAGTTCTGAAGTAACAAACATAAAAAATATAACCCAATTAATAACGCTCTCATTTTTTATAGTCTGTTAAAATTCAATGTTTTTTTTCTTATTGATCATAAAACCATAACTATGTAGGCTTTTGATTACAATAATATCTAACAAAAAAAAAAAAACTGAATACTATAATAAATATAAATAGTATAGTTAATCAACTATATATTTTTGGATATCGATATCGTACCTAATTTCACCAAAATTATTTCGTGATATCGAAAAAAATTATATTCACAAGTAAAATTTAATAATTTAATATTTTTATCAATTTTTTTTTATTTTAAAGAATACTGTTGAGTTACCATTGTTGTAAAAATCAGAATATAGTATACCAAACAAATTAGATAATGATAATAATATCAAAAAAGTATAGATAATAGATATATCTAATTACGATAATCAAATATTTTCAAATTAATTTTTATTATGAAGAAATAAGTTTTTTTTTGTACAAGACTATCACTGAAATTGGTTATACTAAATGGATAATTAATGAATTTTTGTTATTTTTTAATAATACTATTACAATTTCAGTGTTTTGGAATTAAATAAAAAAATATAATTTAAATTATATTTGTATTTTTTTTTTACTCAATAACTTAATTTTATTTTTCTGATTGAATTCCAACCAGTTGTTGCTGTATATTTTCTAATACTAAGAATTTTTCCCCTAATTTCTCTCATCCGATACTTTATTTGTGTTTTGTAAAAAATAGGAATATAACAATGTCATAATAAAAAACTTAATCTAAAAAAAAAATATCTTATCAATAAATATCATTATTTGTTTTACCTCAATTCTATTTTTCATAATATATTTTAATACATGTTTTCAAGATTATCGCAATTGTTTTTGGTCTAATATCAAACAATATTTGTTTTATAACAAAGTAACCAAAATTTAAACAGTTTTTTATAAAATGTTTTTTTATCGATTATCGCGATATTTTAAAAATAATTGATATCGTGGAAAAATAAAAAATATCATCGTCGTTGACGAACCCTAATAAATAGCCCAATAATAAAAACCCGTTATTAATAGTTATATAATAAATAATGTTCACTTCAAAAATTATATAAAACAATAGTTTTTAATACGTTTAAATAACAATAACATTAAGTGTCATTTAAAAAAATGATATTATAACCTAGAACGTTAAACAACTTTTTTTTTTAATTTCAAAATCTGAGTTACATTTACTAAAAGTAATAAATAAAGATAACAAAGTAACTGTTACATGACACTGTTAATAGATAAATTATTAAATATATTTTATTTAAAAAAAAAATAATAATAAATTATTCATAGTTATTAAATAATTATTTAAAATAAAAATGTATAGATTAATAAAAAAAAAATAATAATAGAAATAACAAAAACTTTAAGAAAGCTAAAAATTTATTAAAAAATTATTAGTTAATTTATTATTCATCGGAATTTTTTTTGTTATACATACTTTATGGAATATTTATCTTTTGTATATTATTTTAAATAAATTAAAACGATGTATAGTATTACTGGATTATATTTAAGATAAAAAATTTCCATGTCCAGCTCCACCAACATTAAATCCAATACTTCCACCAAAATGGCCTGAGCCATGAGATCCTGAGAAATGGGGTCTATGTTGTCCATTTATTTGAGCTTCGCCTTGGTTGTGACTAGAACCGATACCAATCCCACTTCCAAAACCAAACCCTCCTCCTCCTTGATTACTTCCAATTCCGTTGCCACTTCCAAAACCAATACCACTACCTGATGACCCGCTATTACCTCCTCCAATTCCACCACCACTTTCAAAACCAACTTCAAATTCTTCCCCACTGCCATAATTTTCCTGTTCTTCTTCACCAAATCCACTATTATTAGATCCTAAACCATTTCCGAAACCACTGCCAATTGCACCAGTTCCACCTCCAAACCCCGAACCACTGCCTGATACAGTGCCACTATTTCCAAAACCAGTACCTGAGCCGAATCCTTCACCATTAAATCCAGAACCACTGCCAAATCCAGTACCTGAACCGAATCCTCCAGAATTAGTTCCAGATCCACTGCCAAATCCGGCACCTGAACCAATTCCTCCGCCATTTGATACAGCGCCACCATTTCCAAATCCAGCTCCTGAGCCAAATCCTCCAGAATTAGATCCCGAACCACTGCCAAATCCAGCGCCTGAGCCAAATCCCCCAGCATTTGTTCCAGAACCACTGCTAAATCCAGTGCCTGAGCCAAATCCTCCAGAATTAGTTCCAGATCCACTGCCAAATCCGGCACCTGAACCAATTCCTCCGCCATTTGATACAGCGCCACCATTTCCAAATCCAGCTCCTGAGCCAAATCCTCCAGAATTAGATCCCGAACCGCTGCCAAATCCAGCGCCTGAGCCAAATCCCCCAGCATTTGTTCCAGAACCACTGCTAAATCCAGTGCCTGAGCCAAATCCTCCAGAATTAGTTCCAGATCCACTGCCAAATCCGGCACCTGAACCAATTCCTCCGCCATTTGATACAGCGCCACCATTTCCAAATCCAGCTCCTGAGCCAAATCCTCCAGAATTAGATCCCGAACCACTGCCAAATCCAGCACCTGAACCGAATCCTCCGCCATTTGATACAGAGCCACCATTTCCAAATCCAGCTCCTGAGCCAAATCCTCCAGAATTAGATCCAGAACCACTGCCAAATCCAGCTCCTGAGCCAAATCCCCCAGAATTAGATCCAGAACCACTGCCAAATCCAGTGCCTGAGCCAAATCCACCACCACTCGATTCAACGAAATTATTTGATCCAAAACCTGAACCTGTTGCTTCAAATTCATTACCAGTTGAAGCACTTCCAAATCCATGACCATGTCCAAATCCTCCTGAAAATCCACCTCCAATACCTGAACCTGAACCTTGGCTAAAACTAGAAGTTTGAGGACGATGATGGGCGGCACCCATTATTGCTAAATTTTTAAATGGTACATCATCTTCAATATTTTCCTCGGCTATAGGTTTTAAATCAAGATGGTGAAATATTTCAGCACCAAAAATATGTTGAATTTTCACGCATGTTAAAAGAACCAATATCTGTTAAACACAATCAAATAATTTTTAATTACTTATTAATATAAAAAAAATATATTGCCTATGAGATCTCTTTTTATAATCTGAATTGTTAAATTTCAAAATAAAACAGGAAATGATAATTTTTCTTTTTTAGATGTACATCTCCAATTCACATTTTTCTTTTCGTAAATAATATAGGTCTATTTATTAATAATAGTTTCAAAAAAATTAAATCTAATTTTGTTAAAAAAATAATAATAAAACTTATGTTATTTCTCTAATTGTAAAAGATTAAATGAATTTTTTACGAGGCTAATTGAAAAGTAATGTAAGAAAAAATATTGTAATTTAAACTAAATAAAAGATCTATAAGCTTACCAAAAATATGCTAGATGCCATGGTTGAAAGTTATTAGTAGAATGTTATTGATTTTTCATCAAATTGATGTTTATATACTGTGACTTACTCGTTATGGGGGACAAGTGAATCCCTACTTATATCAGCATAGTATTATCGAATCTACCCTAATAATAAACATAACTAACTCATTGTTATATTAAAGGACCAATGAAAAGAGTGGCCATCAAAATATAATGCAATTACTAAAAATTATTTTTGAGCTTCCTGTTACGAAATTTCAATAAAAAATCAAACTTAACAATAGATGGGTTTTAGTATAGATATAATTTATTATTTACGAGATAATTATATCTCGTAAGTAATTTTTTCAAATAAGATATATGTTTATTATGTTAATATTCAATTATTTGTTTTAAAGTGTATTTTCTTTAACTGATAATATTTTATTTCACTTTTTTTTTAACAATTGTGATTAAATGTTTTATGTATTCATTTTTGAAGAGCACCTTTTAAATAAATTAAAATTATGTAATTAAGTTTATTAAAAATGTGTACTCAGCATACTATTGAATATAAATCATATTTTTCTATGAAAGCCAAGCATTTCTATGTTAGCAAATTTTTTTACAAAAGTATCAATAAACAATCTCCAGGACATCGAGGATAAATAAATATTTTTCCTGAGGGTATAGGTCAAATCTAATGACCTTAATGGACATTATTTTCTTATAAAATACATTGAAACTCTACATTGTTTAACATTTTATATTGTCAAATGCAAAATATATTCACGGACATTATAATAAAACAACAACACAGATACCAATAATACAATAATAGATTTATTCTCTTCAGTAACTTACAAACAAATATATTATAAAATCATTTTACAACACATAAAAATAAAATAAGTACCAATAATATTAAAAACTCCTAATTGTATTTGCGAATTTAGGAGGACAAAAAGAACTATTGCCTCGGGAAAAAAAGCTCAAAAGACAAATCTTAAAAGTAATTTACCTTTTCAACTTTTATACGAAATTAAAAAGTATTAATGTTTCCATTATGTGTACATGTCACCATATTTTTTTGTCTTAAAATACCAAACATTTTATTATTTGGCTAAAAATTATTAAAGTTCATTATATCGTAAATATAATATTAAATTCCATTTTTAGTACAATAGGTTACGGGGTCTATTTTTTACATAGAACACACAAAACTGACATTTGAAACCATCTGGTATCAAACTGGATTACACTTTAAATATCATTAATTCTATTCAAAAGTGGCTTAAGTCGAATTTTCACCAAATTTTTTTTTTTACAAAAATTGGTAGTATAATTTATTTTGTATTTTGGTAACATAATTCTCAAACTAGTATACTTAATAATTGACAAAATAAATTTGATATTTTACATAACTTGTTTTAACTTTTCAAAGAACTCTCCTGAAAGGTTAATATATCGGCTATAATTAATATAATATAATATAATTGATGTGATTGATTGACTGACTATGCCTCTGTTATATTTTTGAAAGTATACAATATAATAAAAAAATTTCTTTACATAATACCTTATGTACTACAATTTTCAACAAAATATTTGAGCTCTCTTCCCTCTTACATCTTTAAAATAGTATTCAACTAAGTTTTTTTAATTAAAAATGTAGGTTTAACTAGCTTAAAAATAAATTAGACCAGTCTATAATAACGTTTGAGCCAGTATTTTTAAAAATATTAGCTCGTTTATACTAGGGTGGGAGGAATAGTGCGATTTATAAATATCTAAGGATAAAAATAAACAGACACACGCTACACCTCCATTCATTATAATAAAGTGTTATTGACTTTCAAAGTACTGGTTTAAAAGTTATTATCGATTTTCTTAATTAAATCATTTTCTTATTTTGAAGCTAGTTGTAAATATATTTACATATTTTGATATCGCCCAAATCGAATTAAAAACAAAATCTAAGTATTAATCTAATGTAAAAAATACATCAGCCTAATAAAATTTTTGTTTTTCCATGAATCCATAGTACTTGTTAAAAAAAAATAAGCTTTTTTACACGACTCTGAAAGGTTGCTCAAGAATTTTTATTCCTTTTTAAATAACATGGAAAACATAATTTTTTTTGTAAGATTTTTAAAAGTGAATATTCACTTCATCAATTAAAATCTAAACAAATATTGTTAGATTATGATTCTCAAGAATGAATAATAAACGTCGGAAATGATATTTAGAATATATCGAATAAATTGCATACATCACTTATCTACAATTAGAATTACAATTTCTATGAATAATGGTCTACTTATCTCAAAGTTCTTTTCAACTAATCAATTAACTTGTTAAGTAAGCTCATCTTCCGAATAATTTTAATTTTGACATACTAGTTTTACTACAGAATAGATAATATTTGATTTATTCAGTGGTTTACCAATAATAATAATAAAAAGGAAGAAAATTTTAATTTTTATGTATCATTTACTCATTGTCAGTACTCTTGTAGTTTAATAAAAGGAAACATTTATTTAAAGATTATAGCGCCAACTTATCTTCAATATTTAAAAAAAAATAATTTAACCACTCAATACACTTAAATATATATAATGTTGCATACTGTAACTCCGTGATAATTTAATGAAGATTAAAAAAAAAATTGTTTTATTTTATACGAACAATCTGTATGCTAGAATTTGATTGGGGTATAAAACCCATCATAATATAGTAAAAACGTCAAAAATACATATTTCACTTTATAACTTGAATATTATATATAATAATTATGACAAGTAATAGTCATATATCGTATGAATATTAAATTTAAAAGTAAAAATAAAATTAAAAAAAAATATTTTTTTTAACTATAACTTAAAGAAACTGTTTTTTTTTTAAACATTTTTAATATTTTTAAAAATAAATAAATAAATAATTTTTAATTTTAATACATTCTTTTAAAAAACATTATCACCTTATAATAAAAATTATCATAAAAATCACTTTTCTGAATTAAAAAAATGAAAAATTGGTTACCGGTAAAGTAGACTTGTTACTTTGTTATTTTTTTATTCATCATAAATAAATGTTTAAAAAATTAAAAACATTTTAAATTTATTTGTTTTAATAATATTAAAACCCAATTTTTAATTTAATTGAAAATATAAAATTGTCATTAAAAATAATTTAATATAAAATACACGAGGTAAAATTAAACCTCTTTAAATATTTGAGAAATATTTTTAAAAATTAAAAACAAAATAATAATATTTTTATAATAGAGTTATATATATGAAGAAATAGTATAGGTGTCTCATGGAAGTTATTAAATATAATATCAATTTATATCTAAATAGGAAACAATATATCAAATAATTAAAAATTTTCCATTATACATTTAATGATTTAAGTTGGAATCTCAAAATTTAATATAAATATATTATTATAAAAATCACAATGTTATTAGACATTGATTTTCAAACTAGTATATTTGTTTATAACAAAAACATTGGTCAAAATTGACAATTTAGAGTTTATCCGTAAGAAGTGGCTGCGCCGTTACCGGCGCCGCTACCAACGCCAAGTCCAGTACCAGTGCCACCAGATCCACTACCGGAACCAAATCCAGAACCGCTACCAGAACCAAATCCAGAACCACTTCCGGCACCAAAGCCTGAACCTCCACCAACACCAAATCCTGCTCCACCATTGTTGATTTGACCAACATTTCCGTGAAAGTGTCCAAAGAATGGATGAGGTTTGTGAAGTCCAAAGTGGCCATTTCCACCATGTCCATGACCATGCCCAAATCCATATCCATGACCGTGGCCATGTCCACTACCAAATCCATTAGCAAAACTTCCTGACGATCCACCGGTTCCCGAACCACTTCCAAAACCAGATCCTACTCCAAAACCGCTACCTTGTCCACCACCGTAACCATTTCCTTGTCCAGCTCCAAATCCACTACCCGATCCCGAACTTCCTTGTCCGTATCCACTGCCAGAACCGTAATTGCCACTTATGGGCAGTACAAAATTGGAACCTGAACCATAACCAGACCCAAATCCATTACCGCTGCCACTGCCGGAACCGAATCCGCTACCACTTCCAGTGCCAAATCCATTTCCAGAACCAACACCCAAAGCTGATGCACTGCTACCACTACCAGAACCAAAACCGAAACCTCCACCAAAATGATGATGGTGAGGCAAATGGTGCGCACCAAAAATAAATGTTTTGGAAGCATCATCAGAAGTCGATTTAGTAAGATCTGTTTCTGGTTTATCTTCAGGTTGCTCTATTGGCACACCTATCGTCGAACGGCCAATAAAACAAATTGTGCATATCAACAACTAAAATAAATTTTAAAAAATTAAATACAAGTAAAATAATATGAAAACAATTTTTACACCAAAACAGTAAATTATAACAAATAAAAACACATCAATCTTCTTTACCAACATAAAATTAAACTAAAGTAATTTCTAATTTAAAAAAAATGATTATATTTATTATCCTCAGAAGAATTAAAATTTTTAAATAATATTTATGTGACATAGATATATAAATACAACACGCCATTAAATACGACAAATATATTATATTAAGATAGATAATTTCATCATTTAACAAATTGAAATTAAAATATGTCTTATTTAAATTTTTTGTCGAAAAATAAAATCTACAGGAACTAGTAAACTTACCACACATGATTGGATTACAGCCATGATTGATGTATTGCTGTGACTGAATGTGCTTCCAACAGATCTTAGTTTCTTTTTATAGTACACATAATGGGGAAGCCCGACCTCCTACTTGCAAACCTACTTGAAATCCTACCCCAGACGTACCTTAATTGCTCGCATAATAATTTCTTATCGCCTATTTCATGTTAATACAATACATAATTAATAGAAAACAGCGTATAAACTGTTAGCTATATATATTTTTATTAAATTAATATTATATTTAAAAATATTAACATTATAATTAATTAGAAATATAGAATGATATATATTTTTTAAGATTTGTTTTATAATTTTCATTACATTTAAAAATTATATTTTGTATTAATCATAGTTATAGAGATTTAATCTGTTAAGGTGAGTGTGTGAATTTTCAATCACATGAACATTAAGTTACTGAATTGTAAAATCGTTGAATTAAATATAATAGTAAAAAATATAACCAAGAGAAGAATTTCAACGTAGTAAGTTACTAAAAATCATAGTATTTTAAAACTTCTCGATCTATGATTGTGAATAAAACATGTTATATTATTTTGATTTAAAATCATTCAAATTTTTAGTGTTTAATTAAATAAAATTAAAACTATATTAAAAATATTATTAATTTAAAAACTAAAAATATTAAAAAATATTTCATTTTTTCAAATTTTGAGATGCATACTGTTACAGTATAAGCTACGATATATTTCTGTATTTAATTTTTTTAACTAATTCCTTTTACATACAATAACTTTATAAAATGCTTTTTTTTAAAGTTACATTTAAAATTTATATTAGCCGGCTCTTTGGAAAATCATAAATGCACTTATAATTATTATTAATCAAACTAAAAACGTTTTATTGAACTTTTTCAATGTACATATTTTTTCGCGTATAATAAAATCATTTAACAAATCTTAATTATTTATTAGCTAAGTATACATAGATAAAGCTAATGAATAATAACAAACGAAAAAAAAATCTGTATTTGAAAAAATGTTTAAATTAAAAGATAGTTTTGATTTTTCTCGATGGAGGTTCTCACATAGGTGAGGAAAGTTGCGAGTAATTGTGGGCATACTTTATCGATCCGTCGAGAAGGGCGGAAGGACAAGACCTCTATCACCGTGTTGTATTTTCCCATCTCCCTTACATGATTCACATTGTTTGTATTTGGACCAAAATTTTTATTTTTCCTAAAATCATGTCGCATGACCGGAAAATGTTTAAATCAATAGTAAGAAACAGAACTGATTCAAAATAAATACTATTAAATCAACTCATACCAATTTCAAAACAGTAAGTATTCTTATGTATTTTAAAACAAATATATACATCAAAAATGTTAAAACATCACCTAATATCAACACATCCAATCATATAAACAATAAATTTAAAAAATAACAACTTTTACTAAGTATTTTTCATTTTATTTTATTTTTTTTTATAGTTTAATATTTTCCAATTCTAATTTATATGTGTGTTTAATGAGATGTATTATTTTACATAATTTGAAACCTGATATTGTTAAATTAAATATTATTAAGATTTTTTACTAATTTGATGTTGTCAAACTTAGCTTTGTTAAATCACAATATAATTAATAATTCATAATTAATCACAAAAAAATATCACAACAATTTATAAATGTAGAAAATTTGTCATATTTAAGTATCACATTTCCCTCATTTACAATATATTCACCAAATCAGTTGCTGATAACAACTAATCAAAATTATTTAATCAATAAACAAATTTTATGTGAAGACTTTTGTTTGAGCAAAAAATTTGTTAGATTTATATGATTATTTTTCAAATGAATAATTATAATACGTATTATATATAAATAAAAATATATAAATTAAAATATACAATATTAATTATTTTTATTTATTTATTCATAAATAATTAGGTCATTGTCACAAAAAAAGTTTGAAAATATTGATTAATCATACATCTCATGAACAAATTTGTAAAAAACAAAACAGCTAGATTTTCTTAACTTCTTAATTTTTTTTTTTAAGTACCAATAATATAAAGTACTAAAAAAATATTATCATGAACTGTAGTCATTAATTATTTGTATTGTACAGATAATGTCATTTTACTTTTAGTATACCACTTTTATAACTCTGTACTACTCATTACAATTTCTAGTTATAACAATAGTATTAATTTATATAAATTTTCGTCATCAATGCGTTAAAATACGACGGAAACAGTTATTGTATAACATATATCTTCTTACATAAAAAAATAATTTTCAATTATCTCTTCATGTGAGATTCATTTTTTAACCCCTGTCAAAATAATCATATTTAAGTGATTTTCACAAAATACACCTAATTTTAATTACTGCAACTTGTCGATTATACAATGATTTATGAGTTTTGTTTTATGCACTGCAATCCAGTAGTGATTTAGGTTGCGCAGTGTGAGAGTTTCTTGTTACTTTTTTCATTGTCGTCATTTTTCTCTACCTGCAATGACGACTAGGCCCTACAGTGATACTTGTCCATGATCATCTTTTCATTGAACTACACATCTTCCATACAATAACCTATTGAGCTATTAGATACCTCAGCCCGGGTGTCCCAGCTACTTTTGCATAACCCTAAACCACTGCTGTTGCACCAACAACTGCCACGTCTATTATCATCGGTTAACACTTCATATTGTAAACTGCCACATGGGCTATATGTCCACGTTTGTTTCACATTTAAACAAATAAAGTAATAGTCAAACAATAAGCCAAAAATATACTTTCTTTTGTTCCTTCAATATCACTTTCATTATGTCTGTAAGGTTCCTTTTAAAACTATTCAACGATACACATAACTGCTCCAAGCAATCCAAGATCCGTCACCATTCATTCAGTCGCAAATTTTTCTATGACATAATTTTCTTCATTGTAATTTAATTTTTCTGACAAATTGTTATAATTATACATTTTTGTCCCATTAACTTAAACGAAGAAAAAAAATAGCATTATTATTTTCTTACTGTAGGACTAACGGAGCCCTTTGCAGTACATGAGATTTTTTTGTTCCTTAGATTAAACCTTTAGAAATTATCCCTGGTTATGACATCCAAACTTTTAGAATTGCTAATCCCCAAGGTATATATATTTAATATCGATTGTGTTGTTTGTACACAATAGCTAAGTGCAATAGAAAATATTAATTTAATGCATTATGTTAGCATAGTTGATTTAATTAGACTTGCATTCAAAACCATTGAGTTGAGTAATTCTGGTGGCCCAATTTTATTTTATTCACTCAGATTTTCTTTGTTATGTTATTGACGCCGGTTGATATTCAGTTATTAAGTTAATGTCCTATAGAATGTTTACAATTGATAACCTCATGATAACTAATACATTCGATTTCACTATACTTTTAGTATAATTGAGAATTATCTTTTCAATGAAACTATACCCTCTAAAAATGTAATATATTTTACCTTTAATAAATATTTAATCTTTTAAAGCACTATTTGATAAAAAATTATGGTAGGTCTAATTGATTTTTTTCTCTTGACAAAACATATTTTAATATTATAATTTATTATTATAAATCACGTTATTCAAATCGTCATATCAAATTATAACTCACTATTAAAAGTGTTCCGTGCACTCAAATTAGCAATAATATAACAAAAACAATTATTTCAGAAATTATTTTTAAACAATTTTTGAAAAATTCTCTTTATACAGACTTTATTTTATTTTAAATATTTACAGATATATTCATACCTTCTGAGTTGTGCTAACGTTTCGAACTTATCGCAGAATTCATCTTCTGAGCGATAGTTACACGTCGAAGGTTGTAGATATACATAAATATATTTGTAAATAATTCTAAATAATACAACTATCCATGAAAGTTTTAACACATTCAGATTTTACATTATTTCACAACAATTACATTTGATTTGGTTTTATTTTTAATTAAGCTATATTGTGTATATAAATGCAAATTAAGAATATAAATTCTTGATTTTATAAGTAAAATTCTATTTGATTAAAAAAAAAGTGTATATTGTATCATATAATTTAGACTATACTGTTCTAATGATTTTTTAGATGGATAAAATTCCACCACAGTACAATTTGTTCACTTCAGACGAACCCTGGTTATCAGATAACATGGGTAATACTAATGACGATAGTTCTTCCGGTTCAAATGAAGGGTACTCTACTTTTACGACGCCAGTCTCGCCAGTCGAAGGCAAAATGTAATTATTTCATCAAGGCTTTTTTATTACCATTTTGTCGCTCAATAAATAAAATTCTATTACATGGTTTATCACGAACAAGACCATCCACAAAGACCTTTGAATTCCTACAGTCACTCAACTAGCTAAATCTCTTTATCTCTTTTTTCACTGCAAATTAAAATACTATGCCAACCCACTAGTAAAACAACTCCCTTCACTAACCTTATCCTAAAGCCCTTCCAGAAGATTAAAACACTATCATACTCAGAAAACTTGAAAAAAAAAACAAACTCAATAAATTAAGATGTTAGGTGACACCACTAGGTGTTTCCCCAATTATGTTATGTGTGTAATTTTTAAATAAAATGTTTATAATAATTACTTATTTTAAAACTGTGTATAGGTTGTAATTTTTCTTAATAAAACAAAACAAAAACAAATGTATAGTTATATATTTCCTACTTAAAATTTAAAAAGTATTTTATCATTTACAAAATTATAGAGCAAAAATTGCAAGTCTATTAAAAAATCTAATAGCTATTTAACATTGACTTTCTAAATTGTTCGCTTTTAAAAATACGCTTTCTTTGTGCAACTACCTTTTCTAAATAATATCCTCAATTTTAATCATTTTTTTAGAAATAGTTATAACATTACTATTTAATATTATAGTTTCAACGTTGCCAAGTTAATGGACAGACTAAGCGAACAAATACTTCGAGATAGAAACAATCCGGAAAGTTACGCATTGCCGTCATCATCGAGTATGAGTTTTACTGGTAAGTGGTTATTAATTTAAATAATGATCTTTCCCTTTTTTAAAAAACTTATTTGAACCGCCATCTTACAAAATAATTCTTTTATCATGAATCACTTAATTAATCAAAAATAATATTGACGATTTTTTTTTTTGTTTCTTTTAATAATATATTTTTTTAAATTTATTAATCATGAAATATTTGTTTATAATTATCCCTTATAAGGGTGTCAACTTTATTTTTTCAAATGGCAACATTCATATTAAACTAGTTTATTTATTAGATTATGGTCTAATAGACAAAGTGAAATTTCAACAGTTATTAACATTTTATATTTAGCGAAAAGAGGAGTGAGGCCGAAAAATATCTAGAAAAATTTCTAATATTATTATAATATTTGAAAATTTGAATTATTTATTATATAATAAATAATTCAAAAAAAATTCAAGAAAAATGACTTGATTTTTCTAATAACTTAATAATTTCTGAAATTCTGTTTCAAAAATTGTTATGACCAATCATTTTTTCAATTAGATCAATATCTAATAAATAAACTAGTTAATTATGCATGATGTCATTTGAAAACAAAAAGTTTACACTCTTATAAGGTAGAAGAAATGAATATAAAAATTACTTCATGATTGAAAAATTGATAAATTGATAAGTTACTAAAAGAAAATAAATATATATATATATATATATATATATCAATAATAATTTTAATTTCCATTAAACAAGTGGTCCATTATAAAACAATCACTCTGTATACATTCTAACAGATATAGATAGCTTGCATCCCCTCTCGGCACATTCTCGATTTCTAACGACGGAAATGCCAGCCGAACTGCAGTCGAATAACTCATTAAAAAAACGGTCGTGGTTCTTTCTAGCTTGCTTCAAATGTCTTGACTTTATAATCGAACCTCAGAGTAAGTTGCTCAAGTAAAAATGTGTAAAATTTTACAAGTTCTTACATGATAACCTTCATGATCATTTAAAGGTTTTTGTTATATCACCTGGCTTAGTTTGGTGACGATGTCATATTTATACAACTGTTGGGTCATACCATTACGCATCACTTTTCCTTATCAAACCCAAAAAAACTTATGGAACTGGATGATGTTAGATTATTGTTCTGATGTGATAAACTTACTGGATACGTTTTTCATAAAGCCCAGAGTAATGTATTTGAAAGATGGCTTTTGGGTCCGAGATTTGAAACTGATCGAAGCCAACTACTTGGATAAACTCCAATCAAAAGTAAAATTGAATAAATTTAATTTTACGTTATTTTAGAGATTTATACAATCGATGGTTATTAGTGATTCATTTATAGCAATGGATATTTTTTGTCCATAAATTAACAAAAATAATTTAAATCCGAAAACTATTTCATAAAAAATAACCCCAAAACTTTAACATAGTAAATCGAAATAATTACATGCGCAGAGTCTCAAATTTAACTGACGTTTTTTGATAACTTTTGATCCAACTATCATTACAATGATTTTTTTTTAATATTCATTGCCTCTTAGAGACTATGTTTTATGTATATTTTTTATTATTTATCTAAATTAAGAAAAAATAAAATTTAATTTTTTTCAAAAATTCCAAATTGCCATTTTTTTACATTCTTACAAACAAATTTGATGGATCAATAACAATTTTAGGCAAGTACTCATTGAATTACAAGCATTTACTGAATTTTGTGTACTCCACCTACGTTCCACACTTTAGTTGTCAATTAGATATGAGAAACTCCGTGTATAAATGCAATTAAAATAAAATCCTAATCAAAATTCAAAAAGATGGTGTACTTTTATTTAAAATGACACGATTTATGATAAAAGTTTTACGATAAAAAAAATAAAACAAGCAATATTTCATTTTTCACATAGTTAGACAATTAAACAATTTAAAAAATATTAATATTAAATACATTTTTAAAAAAATATCTTTTGCTGAAATTGAAAATAAATTAACTGGGATAAATAATATTATTGTTTTAGTTGGACATCCTTTCTCTTATACCAACAGACGTATCTTGTCTGACGCCATGGCTTAGTTCTGATATGTTACCGTTAATGCGTTTGAACAGGATTGTTAAGGTTTATAAAAAATTAATGCTTCACACCTAAACATCTCTTAATTTTTTTTTTTTTATTTGATAGATTCAAACGTTTTGGGAGTTTTTCGATCACTTTGACAGCGTTTTATCTTCTCCTTATGTTGTTCGAGTGACCAGAACGTTAACTTATATGGTCTACTTGGTTCATCTTAACGCTTGCGCATATTATTATGTATCCGTCACCGAAGGACTGGCATCAAATAGTTGGGTATTCAATGGGCAGGGTAACGCGTAAATATACATAAATTATATTGTCAAAACATTAATAGATTTTGAACTTAAGGAAAATAAACTAAATGTTTTTATTTAAAATTCATTAGGTATATCAGGTGTTTCTTTTTTGCCACCAAAACGGCCACGTCCATCGGCAAAAATCCTCACCCGGAAAACGAAGCCGAATATTTGTTCATGACTGCCAGTTGGCTAATGGGTGTTTTCGTATTTGCCATACTAATCGGACAGGTTTGTCACAACTAAATTTTAATTTAGACTCTATTTAAAACTAAAACACATATTGAGAACTTTTCTACTTAAAACATACCTATTTAATAGGAATTTTTTCAAAATTTTTTAATGTGTAAGAATTTTTTATTCTAAATTCTATCTTTTTAAAGGATAATTAAAATAGATCTCTTAATCTTTCTCATAATATAAAATTGACCGTATTATTTGACGAGGTTCACATGTAGTTAATTTTTTACAGATTAGGGATATAATTGCTACAGCAACGAGATCTCAAACTGAATACAGAAAACTCCAAGATGAAACTTTAGAGTATTTAAGAAAGCTGAACATACCACCTCGTATACGAGAACGTGTAGAACAATGGTTTTCTTTTACTTGGGAACAACAAAGAACTCTGGGTGAAATATACTTTTGTTCTAAACATTTCTTTATTTTATACTCATCAATTATTTTACACAGATTGATTAATTTATCGTTGATTACTTCTGAAATAATATTAATTTAGAGATATTTTTTTTGCCTTGAATAGTATTTATTTCTCATTTTTGGGCGGTTAAATATTTTTTTACCCTTATCACCCTAAAGGGTACCAACTTTAATTTTTAAATATATATTATATATTATTATAAATGTTAATAATTCCTGAAATACCGGTACAAAAGTTGTTATTGACCAATCATTTTCTTAGTTGGATCATTTTCAATATATATGTTGCAATTTAAAAAATAGAGTTGGTGTCCTTATAATGAATAAGAAACTAACCAAAAGAGTATTTAACTACTTATAAATCAAAGTATAAGTCAAAGTATGTACATTTTTAATATTATTATTTTAAGAAAAATTTAGTGGTCGACAGTAAATAATTCACTTCTTATTTGTAAACACAGCCATAAATATTTTAAGCTTCAATTAAGAGAATAAATGCTTTATTGAGAATGTATTCGATAATTTCCATAAATTTATTTGTCTTGTAGATGAAAACCGAATTTTGGACTCGTTACCACATAAAATGAAAACTGACGTAGCTATTAACGTGCACATGAAAACGCTAAACAAAGTGCAACTATTCAAAGATTGCGACCAGGCATTGTTGCGCGAACTGGTACTGAAGCTCAGACCGATTCTGTACCTACCGGGAGATTACATTTGCCGCAAGGTTAGAAAAAATACATGATATTTTGAATTGTTAGACAATGACAAAAAACATTTATAACGTTGTAGGGTGAAGTAGGCAAAGAAATGTATATAGTGAAGACCGGACAAGTACAAGTGGTTGGAGGTGATAACGATGAAGTTTTGGCTACACTCACAGAAGGTTCAGTTTTTGGAGAAATTAGTCTTTTAAGCCTTTGTGGAACTAACCGCAGGACTGCGGACGTCAGGTAAAATAAAAGAAAAATCGGACATTATCTTAAGAAAATGTAATAATTCAATAAGAACAAAAATACTTTTTAGATCTCATGGGTTCTCAAATATTTTTGTGTTGAGTAAAGAAGACTTAAATGAGGCCATAAAGTTTTATCCAAATGCTCAGGCAATCTTAAAACAAAAAGCAAGGCAAGTAAAATAATATTTCTGCAAAAAGAAAATTACGTACATGCTCATACAGAACAGCTTCATAAATAATTTTACGAGTAAAATATATTTATCTACTCCTTCATAACAGTTATTGCAGGATCACGTTTTTATAAGTTTTTTTTATAAAATAATAAAAAATTGAAGCCCGTTTTAAAGTCTAAAATAGCGACCCAAAACGTAACATGAAGATATTAGAGAAGATTGAACTTTGTAAAATTCTAATAATTCTAAAAAAATGTTCTCAGAGTATATTATATGTTACATATTATTAATAATAATTATATGGTTATATATTATTACATAATATGACCAATGACACTTTTTTTTTATTTTAATAATTTAGAGAATTGATTCAACAGAATGCTGCTCGGGAACACCGAATAGTACCCAATGATCTGTTGGATAACATACGTGGAAATAGCGCGGAGAATTTGATGAAAGTAATTTAGAAATAGAATTTTTTATTACTTATAACTGTTATGAAAATATTAAATATTATTTTTCTAATAAACGTGAATGGTTCTGTGTGCCTGACAATTGTTTTTATTAATTTAACCCCTTCAAATTGTATGTTAAACACTTAATATTTTTACTATGACGAAACTAATCAATCATCTTCTCCCAGCGAATACTTTTAGTATAATTCTAAATTACGCCTCCTCTACTTTAGGAGACTTTCGTACCAGAAATTCATGAGGCATCATGCAAAGTTAACATAATTAATATTCTAGGCCGTCGTTTTTAACAAATAACAAAGTTCAACAACGATAATTATTGTTGGGATCATCGTCTAGACGTTTTGAAATGTCAAGTGGCTCATCAGGAGCCAGGACGACACGCAACTATACCGCGTTGAATTAATTGTATTGCAGCAACGGCAGTTGGCATCATAGTGACCCTTAGTCCAGCACACAAAGCTCACCGATGTACAAATTTCAAACATTATTTTCATTTGATAACATTCATACTTAGGTGGATAACGGCCACCTTAAATTTACACAATGTGTATGTACACAATAAACAGAATTTGAAATAAGTTCTCTGTTATTATAGCTTATTAATTGGTTATAGTTGATAAAATATAAATTCTAAATTAAATTAAATCAATTAAATTTAGTAGATTTTTTAAAAGTTTGATTTGAATTGAAAGATTACAACTTTTTACACCACTAATGAGCACTAAGTTTTTTATTATTCATTAGTTTATTGAATATTTTAGTATAAAAACATAAATTTTTAAATTCATTGAAATATTAGTATAAAAATACAAAATGTAACAATAAAAATAAAAACTATTACAACACTATTTCTAAAACAATTTATATTTTAAAATATGGAATTATACACATGTAAATGTAAATAAATAAATAAAATAAAAAAATCAAGTTTTTCTCTCCTTCACCTTTTTTTTTTCTGCAAAAAACTGAAAAACATCAAGTTTTAATTGAATTAAACAAAATACAGTATAGTACATAAGGAAGTTTCCCCAAAAAATTATGCAAGTTTATTTACTAAAAATTTTACTTTTCAATGGAATTTGAAGAAAACTAAAAAATATTTCTGACAACGCTTCTCACTTTGACTTAACTAGGAAAAGTCTCTGGTGGCAAGTTTTTTTTATAATATTTGTTTATATACAACCAAGAGTTTGTTTTTAAGAAAGAAACTACTTACTCTACCTATCACTATCTTTCTACCTAATGACTATGTGAAGATAAACTTTTTTGAAGAATACGACTATTACCTTATTTAACTGAGAGAAAGCAGCTCCAAAAGTAGTGTGTATCTGTAAAGAAGATTGAAGCCATTTAGGAAGTGCATTACAAACATTTTCTTTTTTATAGCGATGATCTAAAAGTAAAACGGCAGCATAATCTTGTTGATGACGCACAGAGCGACCAATTGATTGATTAACAGCTTTCATACAAAGATTTTCATAATACTGTTGACCACTTCCTTTACTCTAAAAAGCCATTTTTTTTATTAAATTAATAAATGATCTTTTAAAAAAAAATTTCATAAAAGAGAAATTTTAATCAAAACATTAATTTTAACAGAGGCTTTTAATTTATACACTGAATTTTTAATTTTAAACATAAAATGAAAATTATTTTACCATATGAGTATCTAAATAATTCATTTTTTCTTGTAATTCAGCTGATTTGATATTAGGATATGGAAGACCAACAACAATAACACATCTACCTAAATCATCACTGAAATTCAGACCTTCACTCAATTTACCACCTAAAGTTAAAAATTCCCATTATTACAACAGATCTTATGATTTAATTAAGCTGAAACAGAATCAAACCTATAACACTAAATAATAATGCCCCAGTTAATTTAGAATCGGAAGATGACATTGCTTTTTTTATAGATAGTGAATAATTTTTTAATACATCGTCAACCTGATTAGTTGATTTTGGTTCTCTGAATACCTAAAAATGATGTTTTTTACTAAAATATGTTTGTATAAAAATATTTTATAAACTTACTTTTTTTTTCTCTGAAATTCTATTTATGATTTTATTTTTCTCTAAATGTTGATAAACTAATTTCTCATAGTCATATGAAGGAAAAAAACAAACAATGCCAGCAGGTACTGTTCGACAGACATTCTCAAGTACAGAGCCTATTTCATTTAACTGCAAAAGTAAAGAAGAACTTAAAATTACATTAATATAATATAGAGCAAGTTTAAACCAATTGATTAAATAAAATACTAATAAACACATTTAGATATAAATATAAAATTTTTTTTAATGTTTAAATAAGTAACATACTATTTTAGCACTAGATCTTTCTTGGTAAGAGAAATCCAATAATTTTCCAGATGGTCCTGAGCATACAATTAATGGTAAAATATGATCAGAAGGTACCACATGACCACAATTAAACTGTAGTATTCTATCACAATCATCATTTTTAAAATTAAAAAGTTGATCTTTGAATTCAGAAATAGGTTCCATTGTACCACCCGAAACAATTACTGATCTAATATTATATTAACAAAAAATTTTTTTTTGAAATACCCAACACTTAAAACATCATCTATTATTACATACCTAGCTTTTTCAACAATTTCTTTAAAATGAACAGCTGGATTCAAAAGTAAAAATTTTAAAGATCCTTTACCAACAAATGCTTGCCTTGAACAGACAATACGACCATCTTCACAGTGATTAGTTAATGACTCAATAAATGTCATAACTGGTGTAAGAGGGTTATTACTTATCAATTCTAATGGCTTTGATTCATTTTGCTCGTTTTCATCTAGATAATGGTTAAATTGAACATTATTTGGCAAAATAAAAAATTAAATTTTAATTAAACAAACCTTCTTTAGGTTTTCCTTTATTATTTTTTTTAGATTCTATATCTTTTAAGAAAGCTTGTAAATTGCTTAATTTTGGTTTTTTTTCTTGTAAATTTACTGATGGCATATATTTTTCAGAAAAGCCTCTAATCTATATGTTAAGACATAATAGATTTTACTTAAATAATTAATTTAATAACAAAAAATTATTACTTTTTGACCTATTTTGCTTTTTTTAAAAAAATCAACTAAAACAAACATATTTAAGTGATCAATTTCTGCTTGATGAACAAAATCTTCTAATGAATAAACCTTAGAATCTACACCTTTGCGGCTCGCTTCAACATGACTAATACCTGGAGTACCACCTAAACATATGATTATCATAAATATATACATAACAACAAATATTTTTAAGATAAGTATCTTAAAATCTCTCATCTCCAAAAGGTTAATATTGCATACTATCTATTTAAATTAAGACATGAAAATTCTATAAAGAATATATTACCTAGCATAATAATCAATTTTCCAATAACATAAATTAGTTGATTTAAATTAAGTAAATTACTAGCACTGAATCTTAGCTCATATTTATCCTTGTATTGGATTAACTGACTGTAGCTATGGGTCAACTGAAATTATAAAATTTTTAATTTTAATGCACAAAAAGCTTCATGGGTGAACTTATAATTACAAAATTTAACATTGTAACTATAAAATTGCCTTTTTTAACATAAATAAACTAAGTTTTAAATTGTACTTGTTGGCCATTAATTTGGGAACTATGAATATGACCAATTGTATCTAATAAATTATGAGCTTCATCGATAATAAATATATTGCCTTCTAATTTTATTCCACTGGCTTCTCTTGTACTTTTATGGAATAAAGTATTATAAGGCAAAACTATAATCTAAAAAGTAAAATCAAAGAAAAAAAATTATGTAATCATGTTACTCAGTTACCTAAACTGATTAATTAATGATACAATCAATAAAATTAATTATGTCAAAAATTAAGTATTTAAATTATTTATTTACCTGTGAATATTTAACAGATTCTCTACTAGCATAATATGGACAAACCGTTAATTCCTCTCCTCTATTTACTAATTGTTCCATGTCTCTTATTTCTATTACTACTTCTTCAGCTAAAGACTTTATTTTTTCTTTATCATTATAAGGACATTTGCAAATTGCTTCTGATTTTTTTTTTTTTAGTACAGGGCCATTAGGTGATATTTTTGTTGATTTTTGACTAATTTTTGATTTCCCCATTTCCAAACATCTATATGCCAAAATAACTTTATATATCATTAATTGAAGCAATGATATGGAAAGGTACAAAGTCCAAAATAAAATAAATTTTATTTTGTGGAAATGTAGTCAATACATATCCTTGTATTTTGATTAAAATAATAAATCAAAATTTCTCTATAAAATAAAAATTATGTTAAACAAAAAGATGCTTCCCATAAGTCAGATTTTATATAAATGGTTTTTTTCTTCTCTAAAATTTAGTTTTTGAGACTTAGTACCATTTTCATGTTAGCGCTAGCTAATATTTTAAAATTAAAAAAACAATTAATAATCAACTAAAACTTTTCTAAATTTATACCGTTCATTCATCAAAGTAATGTTATTTAATTTTTTTACAGTTTTATTTATACAATAGTTTTGTCGTGATGCTAGTGATACAACTCGCGTAGATCCATATGGACTCTTTTTCATTTCAGTAATAAACTGAGATAATTGTGAATGAGTTCGACTACAGAAATAAATCTAAAAAAAAATATTTTTTAATTCTTTAACATCTTTATCTTTCATTACCATTTACAATAATTAACTATTCATTAGTAATATTATTAGTTTAAATTATCATTAAAATATTTTATTAAAAGTATATTTAATAAATAAGAAAACCTTGGTTCTAAAAAGCAAGTATTTTGACAACATAAACATCTATAGAAATATCATTTATCCTTATATAAAATTCTAATTCTTATTAAAGGAATAACAATTTTGATCACACTGCCAAGTATTAAATATTTTGTACAGTACTTCATTCAAATTTTTTCTTAGATTTGCTTATTAAGATTCATAGAAATATGCATTATTGTGGCTCATAAATTTGTAGATATCCCACATAAATACCTTAACTCCTTCATACTCTAATTTTTCATCAGGTACTTCGTCTACAATATCAGATTCACAAAATTTATCATATTCTTCAAGTAAAAAATCAGAATCTTCATCAATTAAAATTTGATCATTTTCATATTTTTCACTATCTATGTCAATTTTCTTACTTAGAATATTCTTTTCGGTATATTTAGTTTTACTTTTTTTTAGTTCCTGTTTCTATAGTTTAAATTTTTACATTAAGTGCTATAATAAAATCATGAAATTATTATTTTTTAAAAGGTCAACTTACTTCTTTCAATTCTTCTATATTATTGTTATATTCTTCTAATGATTTAAGTACCAGGCTAATTTCATAAATTTTCTGATTTTTTTCTGCTAATTTAGCTTGTCCAGTTATCCAATCATCATCTTCATCATCATCATTTTCACCACTATCTTCTTTTTTCTTTTCTAGAGATAATAATGTACTTCTAAGTTGTCTTAATTCTCTTTGTTCATTATCAAACAACCAGCGTACAGCACCACATATAATACTCAAAGTTTTACCCTAAATTATTAATGATAATTATGACATTTTAAATTAATAGTATTTATAATAAATCATAATATTATCCATCATGTTAACTTACAGTACCAGTTGGACTTTCAAAAATACCAAGCTTTTTATTTTCGATTGCTTTATATAGATTTGTCATGAAATCATGTTGAATTTTATATGGTTTGAATGGAAATGAAAAATCTGATGGAGGATCAAGTTTTTCTTCAATAATGATATCTTTAAAGTATACCAGTTTTGCCATGATTACAACTGAAATAAAAAAACTTGTGTGAAGTGTAGAGATCTAAATAATTATAATAATTGATGACAATGTTGACCAAAATTGTTTGAAAAAATATTTGGAAAAATAATATACTTTAAAGGAACCTTCCCCCTCATCTAAAATATTTTTATATCACACTTCAATTTCCTTGCATTTTGGGGATTTAGCCCTCCAAGCTCCCAAAACATTAAGCATTAGTTATCTACATTGTATTCTATATTTTTTTTAACATTTTATTTTTATTTTTTTAAGTTTTCAGTGAAATAGAATAAACCAACTACTATTTTCATAAAGCTTGATTTTTTTTACATTATTTTTATAATCAATTCTAATAATTGTTTAAAAATAATATAAAAAACAATATGATTTTGCTATAAAATTAATGATAATATCTAAATATTTTTTTTAATTAAAATTATTTGAAACATTCATATTAGCACTACTGAAGTAGTGACCAAAGATAAAAATCATACAATTATACAAAAAATAAAATTTTAAAAATAAGATGCAACAAATTTTTTAAATTTTATGTAACAGTTTAAATATAATTTTAAATAAGTAACTTAAAGTATAAGCAAGTAATTTTTACTTTTAAAGTGAAATAAAAAATAATTGTAGATTTAATATACAATTTAATATGTAATTACTTTTAAATGTTCACATACCTAGTTTAAAATTTTTAAACTAAAAAATATAATGCAATTTCAACATTTAAAAAAAAAGTAGCGATATATTTTTTAACAAAGAACTAATACCATTGAAATAGATTTCTAATAAAAAAGTAACCATATATTATTAATAATTAATCATACAGTTATTTAACTTTTATATAATATGTATGCATGTTCAGCGATCAATTAATGAGACCCAAATAAATTATTATCTATGGAGACAATTGGTAATTTTTGATTACATTAATAATTTATTGTTTTTTAAGAAAATAATATTGGCGCCAATTTTGCATCTCGCTTAACATTATAATAATAGCACAGATAAGATAAAACTTATCTGTAGTACAACCACAAATGACGACTATAGATAGGACTTATAAGATATTATAGTTAAGTCTTATCTATAGTCGTGCCACAAACTAAGAGAAAATGATTAAAGTCTTCAGCGATTTTGAAAATTTGATTGAGTTACTGCCATCTATGGATTTGCTCACGCATAATAATTAATAAAAATATTATCTTAACCTATATTAACATACAATTTCCCTCCAAATTTAACATCTCAAATATGATATCAGTAATAATTTTAAATAATATTAATTCATTATGTGTATTAAGATATCAAAGCCGTCATTAAGTTATTAGGTCCATCTATTTTTTTTAAATTGTTCTCTTCATCAAATTATCATGCATAATTAACAATTTTAAAATTAAATTACAATCATTTTAGTATAACTTAAAAGTTGAATGTTAAAAGAATTTATTAAGTTCTTTCTTAATAAATACAATGTTATAATATTAAATTTCTATAATATCATATATATATATAGATATTTTTTCTTTTCAAAAATCTTTTCTTTTTTTCTTGTTTGTCTACTCGTAAAACAAATACCAAATCACACAAATTAAAATGGCAGAAACTAGACAACTTAATTTCCCCCGGTATGCTCACGTTGAAGGGCATACTGATGTTTGTTATTCTGAAGATGGGAAGTAAGTTTTTTATCTAAATTTATATTTTTCATAAATTTGAAAAGAAATTTTATATTAGTGCCTAACAATTATCATTATGATTCATTTAAGATAATCAATAATTTTTGTTTAGATACTTGATAACTTGTGGCCAAGATGGTGATGTAAGAATATGGAACGGTATAGAAGATAGTGATCCTATAGAAAAGTGCGTGGGTAACCAAGCTTATACTATACACCAAAAAGTACTTACTTTACCAATTGTTAAATGATTATTTTAATAAAAATTTATTGTATCTTTTTAAGGGTGAATTTTTGTATGTTGGCAATGACCATCATGCTCTTGAAGTTCATACCTTTCCAGAAGCTGAACTCATTGATACTCTAACTAGGTTTACTGCACCAGTATGTTGTTTAGATTCATCCAAAGATGGTCAATTAATTGCAGCGGGAGGATGGTATTTCTTAAATATTTTTATAAAAAAAATTTCCAATTGTATTAAAAATATATTTGCTTAGTGATTCTGTCATTCAAGTTGTAAATAAAAATACAAGAGCAGTTATAAATTTCAATGGTCATAAAAGTCCAATTCTATCAGTTAAAATAGATCCAGCATCTGAATTTTTAGTAATATATAATTTTCACTTAATCCAGCCATCGGCCAATTTTTAAAGTTATAATTTTTCAAAGGCATCAGCATGTTGTGACGGAAGTGTCAAAGTATGGAGTATAGAAACTAAAAATGTTATACAAGAATGGTCAAATGTATTTTTAAAAAGTAATGCTTTTCATCATTCAAAAATCAAATGTACTCCTCATTGGGAACCTAAAGAAGGAAATTTATTAGCTATACCTTTTGATAAAGAAATAAAATTTTTTCAAAGAGGGGTTTGGCGAGAACTATTTGTAGTTCATGACTATCGTTTGTCTAATCAAGTAAATTAATAAATATTTGTATACTTATTAATAATTCAACAAAATTGCACTTTTTTTAAATATTTTTTGGTCAAAACTTTATTATCATCATAATTATAGTTATATTTTATCATATAAATATCATTGAATATAATAACTGAAAATTTAATAACATTTTACAATGATTTTTTTATAGTATAGATGTAATAAATTTAATGCATATGTTTATCATAGTATATACTATTAAATGAGAGTATAATTTTTATTATGTAAGCTACAGTATAATATAGTAAGGTACTGTGTACTATTTGTTTTTCAACAATTTCTTTGCCTTTTCAATAGGCCAATGATTTCTTGTACATTTTATTATTTTCAAATAATATTCTAAATTACATTGATTTATAACCTACATAAATTTTAAGTTATATTTTGAAATTTTTTATGTAGGAAATCACAGTTATAAGTTGGTCAAAATGTGGAAGATATATAGCTGCTGGAACAAACACAGGTTATATAATTGTGTGGAATATTTCATCCAAAATAGTTGTATTACATGCTGAATGTAAAGAGCGTCATTCTATTAGAAGTCTAGTTTGGTGTCCTCAAAAAGGGACAAATACAATAGCTTACTGTGATGATCATGGACAACTTGGTTTAATTGAAAATGCATGTTCAGATGATGATATTTTAGATGAAAATATTAAAATGGTACTCTAATATCTATTTTAATATTTACTATATTATCGTCTCTTATACCTCAGTAGTGCATATCTCAAATTTTGATAAAATGAGATTTTTATCATACTTATGAAGTTTTTTTAATATTTATTATTCTACAAATCTTTTGCCAGACATATAGTTTTACTAAATAAATAATATTATAAATTAACACAGTTTTTATTTAAATATGTATAGTTTAATTTTTTTTTTTTTTTTTGAGTATCCCAAAAACTGAGCTATGAACTGTTGCAGTATAAACAACAATATGAAAAAGATCATAGTGATATTTTAAAACAGAAATTTTGTTTTATGAATGCTTATTACTTAGGCCTCTGATGATGTTCTTGATTCTGATTTATTATTGGATGATGAAGAATCAGGAGATAATGTTATATCTCTTGAGAAAATAAAAAATGAATCTGGTTTTGGATTATTAAATGATTATAAATCAGATGACAATGAAAATAGTAATTTATCATCAAAGTATCTTCCACAAATAGTTGCCCCAATCGTTAACTTACAGAAATCATTTCAACCCTGTTCTACGCCTATTCATTTACAAAGACGATTTATGGTAATATGTTTAATTTAATTTATACTATTAATGTTGACATATATTAATCATGTATTTAATGCAAAATTAATTTAGATTTTTAATGACGTTGGCTATGCTCGTCAAACCAATACTGAAGAAGAAAATGTTATTGATGTTGATTTTCATGATAACACTATTCATCATGCTTTTCGTATAAAAAATGTTTTAAATCATACTTTAGCTGCAATGAGTAAAGATGCATTAGTATTGGGATGTGAAACCCAAGATGATTTACCGAGGTATATTTTTGGTTATTATGTTAGTAGCCTCAAAATATAATGTTAAGACTAAAATTTTAAATTGTTAATCAAAATATTCATAATTTTGACAAATAGCAAACTTGTGTGTATTTTGCTTAATTCCTGGGATGGAAACCGTGAATGGTCTGTTGATTTACCTGAGAATGAAGATATTGTTGGATTAGCAGTAACTACAGAATGGATAGCAGTTGCTACCTCTTACCGCTTTCTTCGATTATTTACAATAGCTGGTGGACAAAGAGAAATTGTTTCAATACCAGGCTCTATTGTAGCTATCAGTGGATCTGAAAATCGTCTTGTAGTTGTGCACCATTGTGGATCCCGTATTTTTATTTAATATTCTTTTCATAGTTTAAAATCTAAATATAATAATTTAACTTTTATAGCTATCCCAGAAGAGCAAAATTTGCGTTACTGTGTTTATAAGATTGATGATCAAGTAGAAGAAGTTTATACCGGATTTGTTCCATTAACACCAAAAAGTACACTTAGGTGGATTGGTTTTTCTGATTATGGTTCATTGTGTATTTTGGATTCAATAGGAACACTCCAAATATTGCTAAAATCATATTGGACTCCATTGTGTTATGTTGATAATTCAGTAATATTTATTCCTTTATTAATAATTTGTTTTCTTAATTGTATTACACAATTAGAATTATTCTTTAGTGGAAAGATTCTACAAATCATTACTTTATTATTGGTGTAAGTGAAGCACGTCAAGACATACGGTGTATTCTTTGTAAAGGATCATATTATCCTTCAACAACACCTCATCCATTTTTAAATGAAATACCATGGCAGGCATGTTTAATATACTTTTAACCCCACTGCAATCAGCTATAAATAAATATTTTTCAAAATGTGTAGATTCCATTATGTGATATAAATCAAGAAAAAGGTGAATTTGAAGAGAAATATTGGAGATCACATATAGCTTTAGAAATATTACCAGAAAATGATGGCCAACAATACCGTAAAGAATTTATGACAATGTTTTTAAAACTCTTTGCTGTTAGTTATTTTCATAAGTCTTCTATTTAAGTCTTAAATTTGAAGTTTGATGTTATTTTTAATAATTATATAGTTAGCGTGTAAGAGTGGTCATAATATGAGAGCATTAGATCTTTGCAAATTAATCAAATCAGAACAGTCCCTGAATTTAGCCTTGAAGTATGCAATGCGTATTGGGAATAGCAACTTATGTGAAAAAATCACTAAGATTATAGAAAATAATTCAGAAATTGAAAATTTAGCTCCAGAGCCCTTCAATGAACGACTATTAAAAACTCAATCATATAATACACAAACATCATCTTTGCAGTAATATTTTTTTTTTTTTAGAATAACATTTTTTTTTAATATGAAATTTTATTATATAGACCTAATACAAACTACAATTCTCAGCAGTCCCAAGATTTATTTTCTGAAAAATATGATTCTTGCAATGACAATAATGTTGGTGAGTTATTCTTTTAAGTTATTAATATTATATATCAAATTGGTTTTAGTTAAATGTTTATTTACTTTTAGACATCTTTTATAAAAATATGCATAATCACTTTTTTTTTTTTGCTTAGTTTAATAGTGTTATTAATCAATTTTTTTGTCAAATGAATAAATATTTGACTTATTTTTATATTTTGTGTATCATTTCCAATAGAAATAAAGTCCTGATTTTTAAATTTCTACATTTTTTGGAAACAAAAAATCCTTTTCAGTAAATTTAAATAATAATGTGAAAAACTTGTCAAATATAATTGTTGATAATCGTAAATATTAATTCCAGAATCTTCAAGTATATTAGAAACTATTAAAAAAAAAAAAAATCATGATTTAATGAATGAGTCAAGTGATATAGATCGAGCTATCAATCCTTTTCAAAAAAGATCTGATGACCAAGCAAATATATCTGCTATGACTGTATCACCATTGGATTCAGTAATATACCTAAATTTCTACTAATATAAAACTATAATTGATATTCACTAGGTTTAATTTATTACATTTAAATCATTTTACTTTTTAGAAAAATGAATTTATAATTCATAACAAGAAAAGAAAATCAGATTTAAATGACAGTACAAGTGCTGATGATTCATCAATTATAAAATCAAAAAAACCTAAAGGAGTATCTAAATTATCATCTTTTGTTTTTAAGAAAAATTAACAACAACATTGTATGTTGAATACATTTAATTTTAGTTTTTTTTTATAAACCTAATTTATTATAAATAAAATATACATTATATTAGTAAAAATATTTTTTTTTTTTTTTTAGCTATCAAACTTTACTATATTATAGGTGTTAAATATAAAAAAATTATTCGGTCAATCGATTTATAAATTTATAAATTATATTATACAAAAAAAAATGTTTGTGACATTGAATTACTCCAGGGCCCCTTTAAAATGTATAGATTTTTAAAATATGATTGTTTTAAAGATGCTTGGTATATTTTAGGTCTTTCCTAAAATAGTATATCTTTAAATGTCTCACCTATAGAGTTTTTGGCGCTGAAACTGGGCCTCTCAATATTCATTTATTTTATTTTATTTTAACATAGGGAACAAGCCCGAGAAAAACTCACAACTACATTATTTGTAAAGTGTTTGCATTTTCATTAGTATAAAAGTGATGAGATGTTTCCCATAATCCCTAAGAAGTTACTGATTACAATTTTAAATACAGTAATAGGAAAAGATATTTACTAAAATAATGATTGAACGAATTATACAATTATTAAATTAAAGCTTATAGTCAAACTTTATCTATGACATGACGAATGAAGTGTCTATTGCAATTTGCATTAAGAGGACGCCATACGGGTAAACGAAACAACGATATGACCAAAAGAATGAGCTTTTAGATGTTTTACAAACACCTAATTCTTCAAACACCTATCAATCATTTCAGATAGTATGCGCGTACCTTAACGGCCGCCTAATATTACTCTGTAGCGGCACGTCTACTACTGACAGTTTTCTGTAGCTTACATATTATTTTCATTGATAAAGTACACATGTTATTAGATAATAGAACAAGAAAAAAACGCTTTTCTGGGTGAACAACTTAGCTTGCTCCGATTTTCAAAATTTTCTTTTCCAACGAAAGTACTCGGTTACGAGTAATTTAAATCATTTAAAAATGATTGGCGAAGATCGGAAAATTTTTACCGCTCATTCGCGAATGTTTAAAATTTCTACCTTAAGGTTTGAAATTTTCATCAGACCCGCACAAAGACATTTTTGAAATATCATAAAAAAATGTATTTTTCTAGAAGCCCGCACGCATGTTTCGAATTAGGTTATTGTCTCATTTTTGCGCATATATGTAAGGTTCAGTAAGTAAGCAAACGGTTTTCTATTGTTCTCATTGTATGTAACAATTGACCTGTTTCCTTACTTACTAAAAATTCTGTATATTTTGACTGTGAATTTGAGAAAAATTAATTTTTAAATCAATTTTAAAAAAAATTCATATTTAATACATAGTTGTCACATATTGATTGGGTTAGATTATTAATTATCTTTTTCTTTTGATATTATGTTACTTATTTTTATATTTTGTTTATTAAGTATACAGATACATTCTGAAGATTTTTTGTATATTATATTTTTAAACAGTATACGTATACTGTTTATATATATATATATATATATAGAGTGGATGTTGCTACTTTTATAACTAAATATGTATATGTCAATAACATAATGTAAATCCCAAGTTGCGTGTAGATTCACATACAGACTTTAAGGAAACACCATGAATAGAATTAGAAAGAATAAAAGAATGGTATGAGAATGTCATCGAGGAACATTTTTAAATATTAAGAGTAAAGCCAAGGGACTCAAGACTAAACTGTATAGGTCAGCTGGAGGATAAGACAATAAGTTTATATGAAAGTACAGTTTTATGTCATGGACTACAATGAGCAATATAGTGTAGTGAAGAATGAAAGCAGAATAATTAACAAACAAGTCAATGAAGGGAAGAGAGAAAACAGCGTCTTAAGAAACCCCAGATGTAGGATAGAAAACACCATGAACTGAAACGAATTGGGATTGGTCATGAACACAACCAGGATATTATTTTATAACAAAATTTCTAATTTTTATAAAGGTTAAATCAGCTTATTTATGTCTAATCTACATACCATAACACTTTGAAGAGTATTGTGAGCTTTTATTTTACAAATAAATAATTTGTCAATTGTACAAGATTTATTTATTAATACAAAAAAAACAACATAGCAAAAGTGAAGGTATAATACAAAAACAAAAATTCAGGTAACAAAAAATAAAAATTTAAAACAAAATACATAGTGATTAGAAACTAATAATTTTTCACAATATGTCTGAAATTGTATAATTATACATGTTTCAACATTTTATACAGCACAAAACACTGATACAATGAAAAAACACACATTTTTTATTGAACCATAGATATACGAGTATATTCATAAATTATTTTAAGTATCGCGCATAATATACATGATACTAAAATTATTTTTATTAGTTACATAAAAATAAGCCATGAATGGAACATAATTAAACTATTTTAATTGTTATTATTAAGAGATCAGAAGGACTTCTATAAAATTGATTATTTGTCGTAATTAAACTATAAAACAAAACTTTGCTACTTTAAAATATAAAAATTTTAATTGTATGAACATATAATACTTTGATTTTTTAGTTGAAATCATTTCACCATAATTTTTATTTTTTTAAACAAATGTTATATAAATTTAATTTACACAAAAATTATCTAATTAATTAACTATGTCATTAAGTTTTTTCCTAGACTAATTGGCAGTGCATAATTCACGTTTAAAATGGATACTGATGTAAAAAAAACTATTCTAGATACAATTTACTTAACAATTATTTTAAAATATTTTACAATTATTTAAATATATGTACAATACATATGTGAAAAAAAAATATTTACATATTTCTTTTGTTCCTGCATTATAAGCAATTTAGTTTATGATTTTCTATATTGAAAGCAATTAATTTACACAATTAATTTCGATAAATACATTTTTTTCTTTTATATACATTAAGACTGAATCCATTAACTATAAAAATATAAAATATAATGAGAAAATATTTTTTCTTTTAATCATTTCAAACTTCAATAATAATTGTAATACATCTTAGAAAATATTATGATTTCACCAACATTGATAACATTAGAATAATGTTTTAATATAACAACATTTGAATCATCAAAAGGCAATTGTTTGTTTTCTCATCAATTATTTGGTAATCAGGGTTGACTTTGACGAATATCTAAAAAAAATGGTACAATTAAAAATAATAGATAAAAAACGTTATTTAAAATTAAAATATTATATAATTATGGTTATTAATTATTGATATCAAAAAAAGAAGTTCACTTTGTTGTGTATATTGAACATTTATTTTTCAATTTTCTACCAAAATGAATAACCTTTGTTATTTATTAATTTTTTAAAGAGTAGCCAACCCTTTGTAGTTGGAATAACAGAAAAGAAGATTTATTAATTTTAAAATAATTCAGTCTAATATTAATTATTAAAATATGATAAAATTGTATGGTTTTATTTGTTACCAGAAGTTTTTCTTCTATATATTTTCCCAAACTTTAACATATATTTTTTTATATAAAGTTCCACCTTGTGTTTTACGCTTTCACTAATTTTTAAATCTTCAACACTTTTGGCCTGAAGTTCTTTAAATAAAATATTTGCATTGAGCTATAAAAATAAAAAATTACAATAGTAACATTTTATGAACTTAAACATTTTTCTTAAAATTATTATTTACCTTTTTAGCTAAATATTTGAAATCTTCGTCATTTTTTATGCGACCCTGTTTACATGATTTCTTTACATACGAATCTAGAACTTTTACAATAACTGTAGCCATAGCATGGTAAAAATCAATAACAAACTTCATCTCTCTTTGACTATCAGGTATTAGTGTAAGTACTTCAACGGGTAAAGACATCATACTTTCAGGAAGTTTACATTTACGTATTGACTTTAAAGAATCAATTTGAGTACGTTTCAAATAATCTCTAACAATAGGATCATCAACAATTAAACGGTTTTTTTTTGGTTTTATGCTAGATTTGAAGTTTTCAACTATAGGGTCAATCAGTTTACTATTTAATTTATCCTGAACTTTTGAAATAGTTGAATAATTTATACATAGTGAATTAGCTAGATGTTTTATATTTTGTTCTTCTTCTGTAGTAGAGATGATATCTGTTTTATTAAATGGTGAACATTTCATAAGAGGCTTTTGCTTAATTTCAGGTGTACTTAAAATGGTGGAGCTGGTTGAATTTAAAGATGTACTAGGTATTAATTTTTCCACAGAATTCTGTAATAAATCAAAATTGTTTACTTCAGATGATGGTGGTGGTAAAGGTTTTTTAAAAAGCACATCATCACTATCCTTTATAGTAATTTCAGATTTTGTAGTTTTATTAGAATCTATAATCCTTCTTTTATTTTCACCAGGTTTACATTTCTGAAAAAGTTTTCTTTTAGAAGTTTTACGATTGCTTTTTACATGATTTGATATGCTTATTTTAGGTTTGTTTATTTCTGACTCTAAACTATTATTAATCTTTAACAACTGCAATGAATTTTGATATTTCATATAAAAATTTTGTTTGAACACATTAATGACACCCCCTTTTTCATTGGTTTTCAACTTGGCACATAAGGAATTTTTCACAACAGGAACTAATTTATTATATAAATCCATTTCTTTTATTACATTGTGAGTATAAAGTTGAGTGTCTGAATTGACATTAATAGTAAATTTATTTAAAGTACTACATTTTTTATTTAAACCATTTAAAAGTTTACAAGCTAATTTATTAGTGTTTTTTGTTTCTATGGTCTGCATATTATATAAACTATTAATGTTAAGACACCGATTACTAGAAAGTAGTTTTTCATTATAAAAGAAAACTGGATTGCTACTATTTTCACAAGTATTGTCCAAATACTCAGTCTTTTTCTCCTTAATTCTAAAAACATTTTTTTCTTTTTTTTTAGAAAATGACTTTAATTGTGTCTTCATTTTTTTAATTTTTATAATATTAGATGGTTGAATAGAATAAAAATGACTTCCTATTTTCAAATTTCTAAATAAACTTGTAAGATTTGTATTTACTGAAACTGTTTTTTTTATAGCAGATAATGATATTTTTATAGGAGATCTATCAATATAACTTTCTCCAGATGATTTAACTAAATTTTTTAGACCTTTATCAAAAAGCTTGTTAATATTATTATTTGCCTGTTCATATAACATTTCAAATGACAAATCTGATGATATATCATCAACTAATGATATAATCATTGCACTACAATCAGATTTTTTTTCTGATAAAATACATTCTTTTGATTGGTTCAATAAAGTCTTATCACTTCTTTCTTTTATTATTTGTTGCATAAATTTATTTTGTTCAATAATACTTGGATACTGAGCTTCATAATTAACATTTTCTGGGTTCATGATATGCAGAGAAAATGAAAAAGAATTAATTGTTTCATTAGCATTTTCATTATTGGACGATTTTAATTCTTTTTTTTCAATTGATGGAGGAGCTCTACTTAGCAAGGATTGTAAAATGGGTTCGTCATGAAGATCATTAATTGTAGGAGGTGTAAATCTCCATTTTTTATTATTTGTCACAATCTCTTTAATTGGAAAATATTTAGGTTTCTCAGATTCAACTAAATTCAACAAGGATAATTTTTCTGGCTGGCTAGAGGCTAATGAAGTATCTGTTGATTTAGCTGTAAAAACACATTTATTTATGTAAATATTGGATATTTAAGCAGTTTTAAAAATTAAAGAACAATATTATTGAGAACATCTATGATTAATATACTATTTATCTATTGTAGTTTAAGTACAATAAAAGTTTAATAGCAAAAATAATTGATGCACATTTCATAACTAAATTTATAGTAATACTTGTTGTCCTGTTTCATAAACTACCAAGAAATCCTTTATTTTTTCTTAAAATTTAATAAAACAATACAAAATGTTTTCAAACACCCAAAAATAGCCATATCTTGACATACTATGCAGACACCAAGTTATCATTGACAGACTCAGAATTGGACACGCACACACCTAACTCATGGATATTTAATGAACAACAGTACTCCACCAATATGGGAGATTTGTAGAGTCACTAACTCTGTCAAACATATTCTCACAAATTGTCAAAAGTATGAAATCAAAGAGTCACATGGGATACTTCACCTCTCCCAAACACTGAAAAAAGACCATAACTCTGTACAAAACATGACAAAATTCCTCAAAGCTACTGAACTATTTGACTTAATATAATATCTGTGTAAATTATGTGCTAATGACCAACTTTCATTCACTTTCATTGTTCAAAAAAACTAAAGATTTTGTTAAAGGAAACTGTGGGGTTATAAATTACTTTTAAGGAGGGGGCAAAATGACAAATAAAAAATCAAAAGATAATTAAGTAGATAGGCCTATTACCAACCCATAACCACATTTTAGGAATATAAAGGTATTCTAAATATCCCCAAGACATAAATTAAAACCACTATATTTATAAATTCCCAAGGAAACACGCCTCATAGTTTAGGAGCCACTGTAGTGGCTACTAAAAGTTCATAGTAAATTAATTTTTCTGTAAAAATTTGTACTATCTTTAATATTATTCCCAAATAGAACATTATAATATAATATTAAAAACTCAAGGTTAATTTTAAATCTATCTTTTACTCTATGTTTAGTTAAGTTTAGTTTTATATTTATTTATTATATTTTTTAATTAATAAATAAATCTGACCTATTCAAAAGAAAACAATATTTTATGTACAAAAAATAAATGTTCCCAATAAAATTAACTTTATACATTTTTTGTAAATAATAAAAAAACATTAATTTCTATCCAAAAAATTATTTCTTAAAAATAGGAAATAGTTGCAAAGAGCCCAACTATGTATAAAAATTTTATTCCCTACTTACAATCGTTAAAATAAAACATTACCTCCAACAATCTCATTCCATTTTAATTTATTAGGTAAAATATCACTTCCAATTGTAGGAATATCTTGTTGCACACTCAGTGATGAATATTTAGCATTTGAACGAATTTTTATTTTATCAATGAAACATTTGCTCTCTTTTAGAGAATAAATTTTATTGGATTTTAATGCTACACATTCTTGATGTTTTTTATTCCATTCAAATACGGCTTTATTTCTAAAACAAAAAAAAAAAAATCATAACTGTAACAATTTAGTATATACAAGGTGTTTGATTAAGAATAAGAATATAAGAATATGCATCTATTAATAAAAATGAATTATTATTTAGGAAAAAAAATTATACTACTATTAAATAGTACAGAGGTATTTTCAATAACATTTTTTCTGGGATTATTTAAAATTAGACATTTTTAGTGGTTTTTGAGTGTTTTATTCTTAATGCAATTATCCAGTATACAAAAAGTAAGGAAATGGGTAAATTGTTACAATGAGAACAAAATAGAAACCACCCTATTCTTTACTTATTAAATATTCTATATAATGAACTCTAGAAGATGTATTCTTTCTAAATCTTGAATGTTTCTATTATTTTGTACTTATAGTACTTTATCTAAAAGAACCAACTTGTAGAAAAAATGAGCTCATGTAAAATAATAACAAATTTTTCCAAACTTTTTACATTATACCTATGTGATATATAAAAATAAAAAAAAAATTCTTTATTTACATACAATTTTAATCATAAAAGGAAATATATTTTATGAAAAAGATCATATAACCAGGATTTGGCTATAGAAATTTATAAATAACCTATTTTTACTTACTTATCAATATTTTCTTGTTGCTTTTGGAATTTTAATATTTTGCTGAACGTTTCCATAGATGTAGCACGACGATGATTATCATTTTCAGAAAAACGAATGTTTCTAAAATAAATAAGACACCAAAATTAAGTCTTGAAAAACAATAAACTAATTATAATAAAAAATTATAACATTTTATTAAAACGTTAACAAAACATTGAGGTTGGAGTATTAATTCAACCATAAAGTAAACTGATAAAAATGAAAAACTTAAATTTTTACTTTTTGATTTTTTTGTTTGTTGTTTATAAATAAGAGAAATTCAAACAACTTATGCTAAAATATAATAAATCTAATTAAATAATATTTATCAGATTACAATTTATGACGTACTAAACTTTTTTTAACATCATATAGTAATTTATTTATAAATTGTAGATAAACTACAAAATAAAATCATAAAGAACACAAAATTTGTAATAAAGTTAATAAAACCATTAATATTTTAGTATATGGCAATAATCTAAAACATTCATTGTAAAATGTCACTGATTAAATCTGTATCATTGAAACATTGATTTAATAAATAATAACTTTATAGTTTAACTTTACTATTAAGAATTAGTTTTTATTCCATTCCGACTACTGTTATCAATATTAATGAATAATCTATAAATGTTAAATATTTTCTAATAATAGAATCCTTGTAGAAAGAACAAAAAAATTATATTGCCTAATTGCAAAAATAGTAGCAAAACTCAAGAAAATTTAATCAATGATATTGATTAAACTAAAACTTAAATATAAATCTACAAGGAATTACAGATTAAATGTTGACTTATCAATTAGTTTACTTACTTAATAGTACAAAGTTTATTCTGAACATTTTCATATGAAAATACAGTACTAGCTGTTGGAGTTATTGGTTTACCAAAATGATATTGATTACCTTGCTCAGAATTTTGTATACACCTGAAATAAAAAACAAATTTTCAACTTTATAAAATAGTTTTATAAATATTCTAAAATGTTGACAAAATATTTTATTCTTTTTCAGAGTTCTATTTAGATATAAAATAAAACAGGTATAATAATAAACATATAAAATATTAATATATAAACAGTTGAATAGATATAGCTGACAACTCTTACAACTTTTGATACAATTAAAATTTGAATATAAGCATTTTTTTTGTTATTTATTTTGTAATAATTTTTCTAATAAGAAAAAAAATTTTTAATGTTTTAAAATTTTTAAATTTCAAAATAGTATTTTTTAGAGTTTTCCTTACTATAAATTAAACCTATTAAATAGGTCAATAATAACTTTAGGATGAGAACTTATTTGGTTACAAGCATTTTAATACATAAAGTGAGTAGGTAGAGCAGATGGGTACAGTTGTTAAAATATGTTTTAACAGTCTTAAAATGCTAAAATTATTTAAAAAAAACATTACAATGAAATTTTAATTATATTAAAAGTTATAAAAATTGCCAGTTAGATCTGTTCCAATTGTATTTTCTATATACAGAGTGCTAAAAAATTGAGGAAACAGTTCAACTGTTACAAACAATCAGAATAGAAATCCGTTTCATAACTTACTGAACAGCCTATTATATAAACATAGAATAATGACATAACTCAAAAATTTTTCTGATTTTTGCATCAATACGGGTAATAAACACTACATTTTCATTGAGAAAAGTATCATTCAAATAGGTGTATTAGTTTTGACATGACAGTCTTGTGTTAAACTAATTTACCATTAATAAGTATACAAATATTAATTTTAGTTTATCTCTTGTAAAATTTGTATTTTTTTTTCTTGAGCTATGCCATTAATTTTTGTAATTAGACAATATCATTTTTTTTGTTTTTTCTACTTTTAGTAGCAGGTATACTTTAAAACGATCTTAATTCAATTATTATTGAAAATAATTAACATTTAGTTTATTCATTAATATTGATAACTGTAATCAAAATAGGTAAAAAACTAATTCTTAATGGTAAAATTAAACTATAAAGTCATTTATTCAATATTAAGTTAACTAAAATATTAATTTTTAAGTATTATACATGTTATATAGGATATTCTCAATGTTTTGACAAATCTAATAAATATTTTTTAATGTTAGGATTAAATATTGTAAAAATTTGAAAATTTTCATGTTTATTTTATGGAATTAGAAGTCAAATAATATTTAGTACAAAAATAATGCGTTTTTTTTCTGTCCTTTTTCAGTACATATTTCAATGTTTAATACAGTAAATAAACACATAATATTTTTAATGTTCACAAACATTGAAATATTTTTCATAACTTAAAAAAATATTTTTTTAAATAAATCAAAATATATTATTTCTGAAGATACATTCGTAGTCTTTAAGAAGAATAATAATCTTAAGAAAAGTAATGCTAAATATTTAGTAGATCAAAAGTTTTTAGGTTTATTCAAACATCATTAAACACCCTATGTATGTAACCTAAATTATATATAAACTTAATTGCTTCAAAAGTTTAAAAATATTACTTACGATTTGATTTGTGTAAAAACTGGTTTCTTTGCAACAGCATTATTAGTAATTGCTAAAAAAACACATAATTTGATTATCGTAAAAATTTATTAAAGAACTTTGATATAGCTAACAAGGCAGTTTTTTTAATTACTGTAAAATTTGTGGGATTGTAAGAATTTTTCATTAAGCTAAATGTCACTATATTCTGAGTAGAATATATTTTAAACACTCATTTTATCCAAAATAATCCTCCTCAATTTAAAATTCCTCAATAAAAAATAGATTTAAACACTTACTTTCTTTAGGACGTTCTAATTTTGGAATTTTAAACACCATTTTTAAAATAATCCATTTCTTCCATAAAATTCTGGCAGCAAGCATCAATAGTGATATATTTTCTTCATCAGGTAACAATTTCTCAACTTCTTTTCCATGTTCTTCACTTCTTGCAACAGGAAAATCCAAGCTAAATAAATTAAATTACAACTAAATCTTTAAAACATGTTTAATTATTATTTTATTTAATATTAATATTATTTTAAATATTCCTATAAATTTGTAGGGTAACAAAAAATACCAGATCTATTGAAAATAGAAAAAACAGATATTATAACAAAAATTGTAACAACAGAACCCAATAAACAAATGATGCTTAGGCAAACTACCTAGCACAATTGGTAACATGTCATATCTTAGTGTGTAGCTACTGGGCTTTGATTTTGTTGCACTGGGCTAGGTAGGTTTTCTTATTGTCCCTGTTAAAAGCTATATTTTTTAAGAGGGGACATTAAACAAAAAAAATATAACTATCTCTCTAAGCACTAATACAATAAAGAGTTTTAATATATAGTGCAAGTTGCAAACATATGACAAATTCAATTAAATGACTTTTTATCCTATCATCATTTGTTAACATTTTTTTTAATAACTATTACTTGTTATATATTGCATACGAAGCACATTTTTTATTATAATTGTTCTAAAATTATTATCAACCCATCCAAATAAAATAAAGGCTAAAAAATAGCTATTTCAAAATTAAAAAAAAAATAGTAATAAATTGTTTTATATTTTTTCTTATTAGTGATAAATAATAAAGAACTTACTTTGAATATAATCTAAGAAAGCAATAGTTATTTCAAAAAATATTTAAATTAAATGATAATTGGATTAAAAGTTGTTGGATTTGTCACATTTTTGTGATTCACCTGTATACTAACAGTGAATAATTACCTCTTGAGAATACTTTGTCAGGAAAAGCATTATTTACCCATTTTAGAATTGGTCACATACAAATAACCCACCAATATTTCATAAAAAAGAGGACCCTACTATACTCATTATGTAATGAAATAATGACTGTAAAACAAAGTCTAATAAAATGCAGATGATATTAAAAAACTAAAGAAATATACATTTCACTAAATTGCACAAAATTATTAAAAATATGTCACATCAATAAAATAATTCATTTCTAAATATTTTTATGGTAAAAATTACTTCTCTATAGCATTTTTTATATTAATTGGTATATTAGCCCACTCAGCAACAATATCCAAAACTTTAGATTTTGTTATAGTATTCCTGTTTGATATTGGAAGTTCTGAAAGAGTTTGAATGATCTGTAAACAAATTAGTCATATAATTCATTAATAAACAAAATAATATAAATTTTCATAAAATTTTACCAAGAAATATAATTACTTACATCTAATTTTAAATTTTCATCATTGTTTGAAGTCATCCAAGTATGTATTATACTTAAACCATTAAAATTCATAAATAATCTTTTGCAGTTAAAATCATGTTCACGAATAAATTTTAAAATATGAGACCTGCTCATAGTATCTGTGATATGAACCATTAATTTGTTTAAATTTAATGTGGCTTTTTCCAAATCAATTCGATTTTTGTTTTTTATATTACTTATATCTGTCAATTGTTTGTCAAGCTATAAACAATAATATTTAATATATAATACAGAAAATAGAAAACTAAATTAGTTGGAAAATAATTAAATTTACATCTCTCAATCGTTTCTTATCTTTGTTTGTTATTTTCTTGACATTTATTTTATTTTTCCTTTCAATGTGTTCTTCTGGTTTTATAGATGTCATATCGTCTTCATCATTTTCATCACTTTCATCAGAGCTACTGGGTTCACCAGATCTGGACTTTTTACTAATATAACCTCGACATTTTGAAGAACCACAATAACATTTTTGCTGAGCAGCATCCCTATAAATAGAATATTTAAGTGTTCAATCATCTTAGCTAAATATTTTTTTATAAATTAAAAAATATATGTACCCAAATATTTGAAAACTATAGTCAAAAGTTATTTCTTCTCCTTTCTTTATGTTTTTTGAACTAAAAAATCCCATACGAGATTCTCCCAAAACATGCCACTGTAAAAATAGAATTAAAAAAAAAAATAAGTTTAAATTCATAATCAAATAAAATAATAATGTTAAGAAAAACTAATAAAATAACACAATTACTTAAAATAGTTACATCTAAATAGCAAAAGTTAGAATTACAGTGACATATTTTCACAATCCAAGGAGGTCTGAACATCCTCCAATGGACGTAAAAAACACAGTATCCGAGGTTGTGGAGTGGCGAACTCCACAAAACAAAATTCCTATGGCACTGGAATAATAGGTCAAGGGAAGACAAGGGTATTTAGACAAACCAAATTTATATTTTTTTTCAAAATAATTGAATGATAATTTTGGTTAATTCAACATAATTCAACATCCTAAATCTAACTTTTTTGAAATATTTTTGTGATTTATTAATGTGATATTTAATAAAATAAAAATATTATATAGATTAGTATATATATATATATATATATATAAAAATTCAAAAGTGTTGAAAAATACTTCTATTTCAGGAGATATAGTAGTTCACAATAAATGGATTTACTTATAGCAGAGTGTAACTTGAATTTATAACATTTTAAAAATTTATAAAATTGCATACAATATATGTTATAATGCTGTTATAGTCAATTTTATATTTCAAAAAAATTTAAAACATACTTTTTCAGCAATACAGTTAGGTTCACAACTATGATTGATAAACCTGGTAATATTGCCTTTACATGTAGCATCTATTACTTCATCGTGTTTTAATTGAACCATATAGTTATTATTTTTATATAGCCTTTTTTTCATTCTTCTTATCATTTCATGTTGATCAATAACTTCACCCACATATTCATCCACAAATGATCCCCTAGAAAAATATAAAGTAATTAGTTAAAATGTAAAGCTGAGATAATAAGAAGGTAGTACTTTGTGAACACTGACACTAGTTCAATACTCAGTTAGATACGACTCTTAACTCAACAAGAAATAAACTCAATGATCAAAGTACCTTTTTCGGGAAACAGACTTATTATATCCTCTAAATCAGAACCCTTTTTTTAGTACCAGTGGTTTACAAGATAAAAAATGTAATGTCTTAAACTGTCATGGATTTTATAACAAACATATAAGTAACATAATGATAAAACAAATTTAACTTTTAAAAGTTAAAAATGAATCTCAATTATTGAAAAAAGCTTTGCTACTAGTAAAAATTGAGAAATGATATTCCAAAATATTATACACATTGTATCTTAAATACAACATGTATATGTAATGTATTACATATTTATAAAAATATATTCTTGGGAAGGGATTTTAAAAGAATTTCTTTAAAGAGTCCACTACAAAAGTATATAAAAGAGGGACCATAAGAGTTATCACTCTCCAATAATTAACATTATTTTTTAACAAAAATAGGTCTCTTGATAACAGAAATAAAAATTGCATACCTAATATATTCCATAATACACACCTATGTTATATACACAACATATTTTTTTATTGAAATTATTTATACTTTTTTTAAATGAAAACAACAATAAATTACTATATATTATATTAATTTAAAAGTACAAATTACTTAAAAAATAAAATTTATTTCATATAGTTAAGCTTACTTGGAAATATCTTCAAGAGCACATACTCCATAACCTTTATCTTCAGTTTTAACAATTTGTGTACGTTTAAATTGTTTATTTTGAAATTGTTTATTAGTACAAAGAGATTTTAATGAACAACCCGATCCACTGAAATTAAATATTTCAGAAAAACTTGTTCACATTTATTACTTAAATAACTTAAAATTTACATAGTTAAAATATTTATATTACCATTCAATATTTAATAGACGATTTAAACATCCTTCCCCACAACCAGGTTTTCCTTCCAACCAATCTTCTTTAGTATATGTACAGTCACATAAAACATTTGGATCAACATTAGTTGCCCTGAAAAAATAATTGAATTTTTTTTAAGATAAGTAAAAATATTAGTATACATCTGTATTTTTACTTAGATTTTAATCTACGCAACTCTTGAGCTTCAGCAGATGTATATTCACACATTTTACTTCTAAAAATTGCATATTTTTAATTAACCGATAAATATAATTTTAATGGGAAAATCAAACTACTTTTAATACATACCGATCAGGTCTATAAAGGTTATTGTAAATTAATTTAAAATTTAAGATTTTTAATTTTTTTTCTAAATCTGGATCAGTTTTTCTTGCTTCTAACAGTTGAAACTCATTTTCTTGTCTTATTTTTTCTGCCAATAATAAGTAGTTAGTTTTAGAATCATCAAATTCCAAAATTTCTTCATCATCCAAAATATTTATGCGTTTTGTTTTTGTAGTTAATCGTTTGGAACGTCTTCTTTTACCTTCATATTCTTCATTTTTTATAGTATCAACATGATTTGAAAAGTCAAATGGTAATAATGATGAATTTTCTGTACTTAAAACTTTGTTTAAATTATCTAAACTTCTGTATGAAATGTTTTGTTTAATCCAATCATTTTCATCAAGTTCTAAAGGGACACTTTTTGAGCGAATTTGTCTAATAAATCCATTATGAGGAAGTTCATTTATTATATTTATTTCAGAATCTGTCAATAAATCATATTTTTCATCAAAATCTTCATAATTATGCTGATATACAAGATATCTCCAAATAACAGTATCTAAAAGCATACAATTTGGAAAACTTCGGCTACGTTTTAATTCTGTTCTAAATTTTTTATCCAAATCATTAAGTTCACATTTCTCAACTTGAGTTGGCCCACCTTCTAAATATGATAAGCTTTTCCAAGGCTTATTAATTTTTAAATCTTCATTCTCAACCAATAAATTTTTTAAACTAGAATACTTGAAATTTTTAGAAAGAGAATTTCGTCTGACTGAAATTAATGATAATTTCTCTTCACTTTTTGATTTTTTTAAACTCATTGGAATATTCCAATTCACACCATCAAGTTCAAGAAAAATGTATTTATTTTCATCACAATTTTTTACTGTACATTTGGAATCGGTAGAATATTCATATTCTCTAGGCAAAATTTCATTTAAATGAATATCAATATTAGGCGATTTTAAAGCTTCATTTACAATATTTTTATTATGTGAATATGGTAATAAGACTTCATTAATCTCAATATTACTACTAAAATTATCAGTTTTAATACCCATTGAAATATTGTCTGTTAAACCACTTTGAATACTTAATATGCTGTTATTGGACATTATATTAAAGCTGTTAAAATCTGATAATTCGGAACCTATATTCATGTTCAATTTGCTTAACTCAGAATCATTAGATATATCTGATTGGCAGGAATTATTTAACTTTTTTTTTGCTCTATGCTTAATTGATGTGAGACTATTTTTTTTAGGTCTTCCTCTCCCTCTTTTAATAATTGGTGCAGTGTTTGGTAACACATCTGATACTTGTTTTCTAACCAAAGTAGATTCTTCATTTTGGGGTAGCATACCAACATATTTATCATTATTTTCTGAAGTACGAACTATTTCACTATTAGAAATAATAAGAGTGTCATTATCAAGAGAATTATCATTACTTATATCTGATACATGAGAAGTTTCATCAGCAACTATTATTTTTCTAGGTCTTCCTCTTTTTCTTTTTACTTCTAAATTTTTAAAAGAATTCGTCATATCTACATAACCATTTTCTTTTACTAATTTTTTGCTTTGTTTAATTGATAATTTTGAAATTTTATTTTTAATTGAAGTGTTCTTCATTGATTCAATAATTATATCACTTGAATTAGTTTTATGAGAATATTTTAGGAGATTGTTTTTAGAAAATGAATTTTTTGTAGGTAAAATCTCTTTGCTTTCAGATTTCATCTCCATTTGACATGTACGAGTCCATCTAGACTTTACTTTGACTGGTTTATTATATTTTTCAAATTTTATATTATAATTATCTGAATTTACTACATTGGAAATAAAAACATCATATGTTGCTGTTGTTTTATCACATTTAGGTGGAGTTAGATAATCTTCATAAATCTGTTGTTGTTTTATATTAGTTAAACAATCATTATTAGTGTCTTCAATATTTAAATTATTTTGATCTACAGAAATACTCTTTAAGTCAGAAGAATAACTTGGAGGGGTTGAACAATTTTCAATTTTTTTTCTTGATCTTCTAATTATATTGGTATTTCCTTCTAAGGACTCATCCATATTGAGATATAAACCATTCTAAAAAAATAATAATATAGTAATTATAATGTAATAAAATCAAAATAACATATTTTTTAACTTCAGAGATAAAAAACATATTTTTTTAAATATTATTCAATCTAAAATTATCTTTGACTAATTATAAATGTAAAAACAATTATCATGTGAAAAATTCTAATGCATTAGATTCTATTTTAAATATGCTCAAAATTTAGAGTACTTAAAATATCTTATAAAATTTTAAATTCAATTTTGATTATATTTATTTATTATTTATTTAATAATTTTTATACACTAATAACTCCTGTGTATCACTTTCTTTTTCCTATTTAAATATTAGATAAACAAAATATAAATATTCAACATCATTACAAAAATTTAAAGTTTAAATTAGAAAAAAATAATTTAAAATACACATTAGATTAAATGAAATATATAAAACAATAATAACTATTAACTCGAAATGTATCAATATGTAGATTATTATAAAATAATAAAACGAAATCAAAGATTATTTTTTCAAATTACCTGGTAAAAATGCCTTATAATTTTTCACGTTGATAGCTATGTACAATTATTGGTGAAATTAATAATCTAAGGATCATTTTATGGATATAAAGTCTACTACTAGAAACAATAATTTTTTTAATAAAATTTTGCGACTATTGCTATCAAACATCCATAATTGTGAAGTTAGCAATTTCTTTGTAGCAATTTTTAATCAGATACACGCACAGGTTACCGCCCGGTTATCGCCTGAATGTTACAGCACCCGCCTCTAGATGACGCTACTCATTCTACAAAAATATTATATTGTATTGAATATAGTATTAGTCGTGACTTAGAACAATGTATCTAAGTCCCGGGACAATGTCTGATTACTCTATATTATAAAAATATAAGTATAAGGCTTATACACACGAATCTATAGGTTCACATATTATATATAGCTATTATATTGTTTTTGATATCAGTGACATAAATCAGGGGGCTATAGTCGCCCCTTTGATCAATTATACTAATAACAGACTTTGTATTTAATAAGTCTATGTGATTAACAAAAAAAAAAAAACAAATAGACCAATTGAATAATTAAAAAGCTGCTAGTGAGCTTTTTGTCGGGCTGCAACAGCAACGTGTCTCCTACTTGCATAACGACTGGTTACAGTTGCAAAGGTCGCCACCACCTAGGTGAGGTGTTACACCTATCAGATATGATAACCGGACCATAGGTGGAATTTAATTTTAAGTTAATTAATAGTTAATTTATCGTTATATATGTAAATGATTATAACACCTTGAGGTTTATTAACCACAACTATAATAAATAAAGTTGTAAGTGGTTGATATGTGAAACACGCCGTAGCCCGTGTCTAAATTAAGGAACAGGGATACAATACACGTGCATACTTAAACTACTGGCACAATAAAATAAATATTACAGTTAAGATTAATAAGGAAATTTAATTTAATTGTTAAAAAAGAAAATTAAGTTACGCGTGGAAAAAAATATGAACGTATCAAAAATCATGTATAAAAAGAAGGGCGACAAAAATAAAATAAAATATTTAAACAAAATCATATATCACAAACATCACGGAAGGTTTTAAAACACGTCCGTTAATGTTAATCGGAAATCAATAAAAAACACCAGGACACTCGTTCCATAGAGTTGGCTAGAAAAAAGAGGAAACGCGTGTTCTCCGCATATAAATAATTTAATTTATAACAAAATAATAATGAAATAAAGTAATTAATAAAAAATATAGTTTATTACATAAATATAATTATAATAAAGAAAACGATACCCGGTATCCGAAAGGACCCATCTAATGGTCTGAATACTTCGCCAAAAAGACATAGCCGTTCGTCTTTGGCGGCTCTACTCCATCAATGAAAAATAATAGTCACAAGAAAACAAAAAACATGTGCACTCTAGCACGGTCAAAGACAGAAGGGCAGATGAAGACCTATCTAAAGGCAATTTCAAATCGATAACGGCCAGTCTTTTTGGGAGGGATCAATACTGATAAACAATTCGATTTTAATTATATATATTCTCTTTTGTCACCTTATCTAGCGGTCAGAGGCAAAAATAATGACACTGCTCCGTCAGAAAAAGGTTTATTCGCGCAATCTGTTGCGCGATAAAAAATAAATAAATATACATCACAAAAAATTATAAACGGCCACCTTCGAATTTGTGACGTTACAAAGCTTATGACATTTCACAATATTTGATTTAGTTTTTGGAGTGTATACAAACGTACCAGTAACTGAGATATCGTATTGAAATATCTTATAATTCAATAGCCGTCTAGTATCCGTATACAGTGACTTTCGGCTACTCTCATGTATTTTATAACTTTATTGCGACCCCAGTCCCCTGAATTATTATATATCATTAAAGAGTTTCCGGAACACTTTCAAAAGTTAAGTTGAAAAATTACATTTTTTGTGAAAAATTTGTCATTTTAAATCCCCCTCTGTGGGCAAGGAAAGGGTCAGATTTATAAAAAAAAAACCAGCACAGTGGGGTCGCGGCATAGTGGAGACGTTGCATAGTTGAGTCCAGTATAGATTTAATCTGACAGTGATTAAAATCACTATTATAAGAAATTCGATAGATAGTGTTTAATTTTAAAAAATTGATGGATAATTACAAAAGCAACATCAACTTCTATTTCCTTAATTATACCCAGATTAGTAATTCTTTTAATTATATATTATATAATTTTTAAAATTAATTGTTTTCAAATTATTGTTGATTTTATGTTAAAATATGTTAAAAGTAATAATGTTGAACCTACTTTTTATTGTTCTTTAAAGTGAAAGTTTTAATAAAAAAAAAAATGAATTTATTACCATAACATGTGCTCAACTTGCAAGTTTGAAATTGACATTATTAAATAGAAAAAAAGGAAATTGTTAAGATTAATATGCAATCAGGGAATTTTATAATTACTATTTACAGTACATTTATCAGAAAAGTTAGATTTTTTTACATTTTTATTGTAATAGATCACTTAAACAAAAATCATAGTAATCATTTTTAATTAACTTTTGGTGTTTAAAAAGATTCTACAATGGAAATATTCAGAATTTAATTAATTTTAATGATTATATATCTAAAAAAAACAATAAAAAAAAGTTATTCAATTTAGCGTATTATAAAAATTGATTAGAATTGTAAAAATCCATTGTTAATTCATGAGAAACTAATAATCATTTTTTTTAGAAATTATTTGTATAACAACATGTTACCAACAAATTTGGAATATTATAGTCTAGTAGTAGCACACACAAATAGAGTAAAAAATTAATAAATTACAAAGTAAAATTATTTACTTTTGTAGTTGAATACTTTTATCATATCAAAACTAATTCGACAATGAATACTTCAAGAATAATAGAAATTAATGTTTTTATAGAAAAAGCTGGTTAAGCTACTTTTTTCGGTTTCGGTTACGGTTTCGGCACTGACTACCGTGTTTTATCTCGCTGTGTTTGTGCAGCGTCAGTCAGACGCAACATTATGTTATCTATTTTCGTCCTATTATCTTTTATGGTTCAAGATTACAAATTTCGTTAATTATAAAAATAAATTATAATATTTTGAAAGATATTTGATATTGATAGAGGCTCGAAATAAATAAATTATTATAAGGTAAATTGCAGGTGAGATTGTGCCTCACTTGCCTCAACCGGCGAGCCGCCACTGGTCTACTCGTCTTAGTTACGAGTAATCTTTAGTACTTCGTTGTTACACGTTTCTAACCTGGAATGGCACCGACTAAAAAAATAATAAAAATCGTATATTATTATTTTAATAAATTGATTTTATTCTAAGTCTAATCTGACTTACTTTATTCTAATTTGAGTATTTTTTTAAAGAATATTTTTTTGGTAATGGCATTTTTTTTTTGTTAACATTTTCTATTAAAAATAAATGTATATATATTTTCATATTCTTAGTAATTACCTTAAACGTTTGCAGTTAACGAATTATGCGAGACAAAAAAAAACCGGTAGAGCTTAGTGGAACAGAATTTAACACACGATCGAACTATACAGATTGCTAATATAAATTCAATTAATTTTTTTCTAATTTTTGAGTGATAGTAGGATTAAACTAAAAATATTGTACAAATGATAATGAAAATGGGTAAAAAGTCGAATAATATTCATCATTGTATTAATTACTAAATTATGATAAACTTTACTATATTACTTTTATAAATAATACTTTTATTCGAAGCTAATACAAGTGTTTATTGAATACAGACGATATGTTTAGACCATAGATCTTATAAGATCTGTGGTGTAGACCATGATGCGCGTGTAGATTTGTACAGCGCCTATTTAAAACATTTGCAGGATTTCAACAAAATTTTTCTCCCTTTTTCGAGTCTGTTGGTTTTTTTTATGAGACAAATGTTATCTCTCCTTGAACATTTTCAAATAAGGCGTACCACAAGAGAACGCAACCAAGTGCCTATTGGTAAGATAAAAGCCTTCTATCTTCCCATTTTGGCCGCCAAGTTACGTTCTGTCATGCTGCACTCTGTACATCAATGTCACTTTATGTTTGTTCACTCCACAGATAATAAAACATAATACTATTATATATCTGTACCTGACTCGATTAACTTCAGTATTCATTTTCTCAAATGTCTGCACATCGAATCAAAAATCACAAAAAAATTTTATTGTTTACAATTTTGTATGAATTCTATTAGGAATTTTGACGCTGATTCTGAATCTAATTTCAGATTTATTTATACATTTTTCATACGAAAACGTACCTGTATTTTATGCGTAATTTAAACGTAAAGTATAATTAATATTATCGGCAATTAAATTATTCCAAGTATAACGGTAAATATAATGAGATTCAACCAATTACAATAATGAACCTAAGTTATAAACGTACTACACGTTATATATACGTTAAAAAGAGAACATTTAACCCAAAAAATATCTTAATAATAATTTAAGCATACATATAAAATTAACATTTATTAGAACCACTATCCCTGTTTTAAATTTTGCGGATTATCGATTGATTATTTGATAAAAACTATCAATATAACATCCACTAACTAAAATATACCTGAAATAAACTAGTTTTTTTGCTCTTCTAAAAAATTGGAAAAAGTTAGATACGAGGTGTTGCATTGTATCATATGTACAGAAGTAATTAATTTATCATTGACCATTCATTTTCAATGGCAAGAAGTCGGTAGTTGTTATTATAATTTTAATACTCGGATATCTCCAACTTAGAGTTTAGAGGTCGGACGATCTTGTCATGCGATTCGAGACGAACAGGCCGCAGCGTACGGGCAATGTTGTATACGTTGGTAGCCATTACACAAACTATATGAAAATAGTCATATAGTTTGTGAATATTTAAAAATCATGCCAGAGTTCGATTCAAAGATTTGAGATCAGAAATTACCGCCCTAACTATTTACATCACAATAAGGACTACTAAATAGGTCGCAAACTAGGAGGCACTGAGAGCTAGCGATGGACACTAGTTAACAGTCTTAATACTGTCACTTTCAAAATAACAGTTACTCTTAATTTCTCAAAAAAATGCTATCTTTATTTAAAACTCTTAATAACAGTGATATAACTGTTTTATATGTTAAAAGACCGTTAATAAAATAAAATAAATGTTTAGTCT